TATATTCTTCCCAAACTTTGAAAAAATTTTTACAAAGTAATTTTTAGAAATTAAATGTCACATATGTATTGTTTTGCCTTTTTGCATTTAGCGTATCTTACAACTGTTCCCATGTTGATTAATGCATGTAGATCTGTAATTTAGCCATTCTTTCACTGATGTATATTCAAATTTCTAATTGTTTACGATCACAAAGTACTGCAATGACTATCCTAGTGCATATATCTGAACAAGTTATTTTGAAGATTTTACAACTTGATAGTTCCTGGTTCAAATGTAATGTACATTTAGAATGACAGGTAGTAGTGTGAAATTGTCCTTCATGGCCTGGCCAGTGTGGCTCATGGTTGAGTATTGACCCACGCACCAAGAGGTTGCTGGTTCCCAGGTTGTGGGTCAAATCCCCAGTTGGGGGGTATGCTGGAGGCAACCAACTGATGTTCTCTCTCACTGATGTTTCGATCTCTCTCCCTCTCCATTCCTCTCTAAAAATCAATACAGGAAAAAAAAAATTGTCCTTCATGGGTCACAACACTTTAGTCTTTCACCAGCACTGTCTTCAGAATTCTTGTTTAGACCACTGCTTCCAACATTCATTATTCATAATCTTTTTTATCATTGTGATGTTCAGTCTGAGTATCCCTTTTTTTGTTAATTACTCTTGGTATTTTTAATCATTTTTTTTTTTTTTTTGCTTATTAATTATTCTATTGAGTTATTCTTTCTCGCTGATTTAAAATTTTAGAAGCGCCCTGGCCGGTTTGGCTAAAGGTTGGCATGTCAGCCTGCGGACCAGAGTCTCGAGTTCAGTTCCTGCTAGGGGCATGTACCAAAAAAATAAATAAATTTTAGAAGAAAATAAATATTAAGTTTCCCCTGGTCTTGACTTATAGTAACAGAGCTTATAGCCTTTTAAATGTTTATTATACTAAATATTTTTCTCTGTGCTCTGGGGCTTCTCTTGCCTAGGAAAGTCTTCCTAAGATTTATAATACAAACTTTCTTTATTGTGTTCTAACACTTTATATTTGTTAATATCTTTAATTCTTCTGAAATTTTTACATATGAAAATATCAAAGCGCCTACATTTCTCTATTTGAAAAACTCCACCACTATAATATATGGGGGTAATTTCTGGATTCTAGTTTGTTTCACTAATCTATTTGTCTAGTCCTGTTCTAATACCACCCTGTTCTAAATATGCTAGTTTTATAGTTCTAGTATGTATTTGGGTTAAGTCCTCATTAATTGTTCTTTTTCAAAAAGGTTTTGGTTAATCTTGCATGCATATTTAATCTTCCAGATATACTTTAAAATCATCTTGCCAATTTCCACTAAAAATTAGATTTTTACTTAAAATGCAACAAATTTAGTCTCAGGAGAATCCTATCTTTATAATACTGAACCTCCTCACACAGGGACACAGCATCTTTCCATTTAGTAAAATCCTCTGTAACATACATAAATGAAATTTTTTTTTTCACGTAGATTTTGCTTACTTCTTGATAGGCTTATTCCTAGACTATTTCACCATTGTTGCTGCTAATGTGAATGAAACCTTTCTTTACGTTTAAAAATTGAGGTTAGTTTATAGAAAATCTAACTTCTGTATGTTGCCCAGATAGCTTACCATCTTACTGAATTCTTTATTCTAATATTTAATATTTTATAGTTGTCTTATATTTTCCAGGTAAACAATGACATCACTTGTATTAATTTCTTCCTTTCCAATTTCAGACCTTATCTTGCTTGACACTGGGTCCAAAATTCTCAGAACAATGCTAACTTGCAGGATTGACACCAGATAACCTTGGACCATAACATTAAGTGTGTGCTGTTTGTTAATTCAGTTAAGCAAGCTTCCTTTTATTACTTAACATGAATTTTATATTTTTTGAATCAGTAATAGATGCTAATTTTTCAAGTGAGTTTTCAGTATCATCTAGTTTTCCTCCTTTATTAGGAAATTCTTATTGCTATACTGTCTAATGTCAACCCATCCTTGTATTGGTAGGATAAACCCAGCTTGGTTATGACATTCTCTAAATGAACTGGCTTCATAGTTTTCTTAGGATATTTGCATGTACACTGATAAGTGAGACTGAGATATAAGTTTTTTGTTCTACTCTCTTAGAGTCTGTTAGGGTTACGGTACCTTCATAGTTGAGAAGTATTCCATTCTTCTCTATGCTTTGTTCCTGGTGACTTTTGTCAGGGATACATAGGTCATTCTTTTATGCTTATTAGTTTATTAAGGTTTTCTTACTTTGAGCCAATTTTTTGAAATTTATATTTTCCTAGAAAATTATGCAAGTCAATTTTCAGGACTATTAGAATAAGTTTACACTAAATCATTTCTGATTTTCAAAAACCTTCATATCTTTAATATGTTCCCTTTGTTTCCAATATTGTTTTCTCTCCTTTTCTTCCTCAGATTTGCTAAGTGTCTATTTATTGTTCTTTTCAAATACCAGCTATTATTGTGATCAAATTTTTTTTTGCTTTTATTTTTAAGTCTTTTGAAATTTATTTTGGGAGATTTTACTTTTTCTGCTTTTCTTCTGTTTGTTTTCTTTTCTGATCCTTTCTGCCATGTGTGTATCCTTTAATATTGCCTCGTTTCCTCAGTGAGTTTATCCATAAAACAAAGTAAAAAAAATGAAGCCTTTGTCATTATTAAATATAAGTGGCAACAAACACCATATTAATTTGGAGTCAGTCACAGTGGGTTCCAATTCCCCACCTCCTAGTTATGTGATCTTGGCCAAATTTGAGCGGTTTCTTCATCTGTGAAAATAGGAATAATAATACAGATTAAGTTTAAAACTATTTGCAAATCACTGAGCACATAAACTGTCCCATATTAATAATTCAATAGATGTCTGGTCAAAGGCCTCAGATGCCCCATTTCTAAAAACGAGGGAATTGGGATGATTAATAGCCAAATCCCTTCCAACTGTAAAAAACTTTACTTTCAGTCTATCACTTCATCCACCAATCAACCCATCAACCCACCCACTCACCCATACAACAGAAAATAAGCCCTTCCTCCTTGGACTAAGTATTCTAGATGTCAGGAACTCTAAGATGAATAATAAACAGTCCCTACCTTCCAGAAGCTCAGAATTCTTGAGGGTAGGGGTTAGGATCAACTAACTATTAAACAGGCAATTATAATACAATGTGATAAGTGGTCTAATATAAAGGTTGTGGGAATTCAGAGACTTTGAGGAGTATGTGCAGCAAAATCAAAGATCTAGGTAGAAATCCTACTTCTGGTATTTACTACTTATTAGCTGTGTATCCTCAGGCTATTTAACTTGGGCACTTTATTTGTAAAAAACAACAGTAATACTATCCTTATAGGTTATATTAAGGATTAAAAAAACAAATATAAAACACTACAGTACAGGACTCATATGAATTCAACAAATGGCAGTTATTAATATTACAAGAGGATATAGAAGTTAAAGAGAGGCAATTTACAGTTTTTCAAGAGAGGAAAAGTAGGGTCAGGGGAATTTCCCAAATGTGTTCACAACACAAAACCTGTGGCAAGGCAACGGTCAGGGGAGTTAGGGGGTTGGGTGAAAAAGGTGAAGGGATTGAGCACAGACTGGCAGTCACAAAATAGTCACTGGGATGTAAAGTATGGGAATATAGTCAATAATATTACAATAAATATGTGTGTATGGTGCCAGGTGGGTATTTGAAATATCAGGGGGATCACTTTGTAAAGTATATGATTGTCTACCACTATGCTGTACACCTGAAACTAATATAAAATAATACTTAATGTAAGGTGTAATTAAAAAATAAAATTTAAAAAGTTTTGTAACTTTTTACAAAAAATCCCCCCCCAAAAACCAAGGTAACAACAATAACAAAAAACCCCATGGCAAAGCCATAACGATGGGGGGGCGGGGGGCCGGGACAAAAAACAGGGTGAGAGGGGACTCAAGGTGGGTAATGCCCTTGGAGGGCTGAGAATTTTATCAGTGTTCTCTCAGTTGCAAGCACATTTTCATATATTTGACCCATACATTTACAATAAATAGTGAATGGAAGAATACACGTTAAAATAAGGTAGGAGAAAAAGATGTGGTCTAAGCTATTGAAAGTAAACTTTTTTTTATCCTTACTCGAGGACATTTTTCCTTTTTTTTTTTTTGTTCAGATAGAGTGAGAGGGAGAGAGAAACATCGATGCGAAAGGGACACATCGAGTGACTGCCACCCACACGACCCAACCAGGGCCAGGGACAAACTGCAACCCAGGAACATGCCCTTAGCGGGAACCGAACCCGGGTCTCTCTGGACCGCAGGCCGACGCTCTAACCGCTGCGCCAAACTGGCCAGGGTGAAAATAAACATTTCACAATGAAAGGAACCTTGGATCTGAAACGAGGAGACCTGGAATAGTCTTTTGACTAATGACCTGTGGTTTTATATGGGCTCTACAACATACCTGCTGTTTGGCCTTCGCAAAACACTGATACCTTCCATCTCCTCACCTGTAAAATAGGGATAACACCTACCTTACAAAATTATTGTGAGAATTAAGTACCAAGCGATTATCAAGGGGAGCGGCACTAGTAAGCACTCAATAATGAAACCGGCTGCGGCTGCTAACTCCTACTTTAGGCCTTTTCCCATACTTGTGAGAAGTTAGGAGTAAGAATAGCTTTTCTTCAACGTTCCAACCAGCACTGAAAAAAAGTATACTGGGTTTGCCAAGGACGAAAGGCCCCGCCCGGCACGCGCCATACAGGTCACCTACGCACTGCAGTCCCGGAGCCTCCACCTGAGCGCTGAGCCGTGGAGGGCGCGATCCACGCCAGGCCGTTACAGAGAAGGAGCCCGGATAAGGCCGGGTGTGAGACCGAGCAGAACTTCACCGAAAACCCGTCTCTATCAGCAGCCGATTCCTCTCGAGGCGAAGCCTTGAAAAAGGTGAAGGAAAGGAAGCCGGAAGTGACGCAAAGCCGTAAGGAACTGGAAATGACTATAGCACGCCGGAAGCCGGAAGTTTACTCGTTTCCAAGGCGACGGCTCCGTCACCCCTCCAACCAGGTGGCCGGAGTCGGGACACTGGAAAGCTACTCCGAGGAGAGGGTACCCGTCGACGGCGGCCGCTGCCACAGCGACTCGCGGGGAGTAGCAGCCGAAGACGGCGGCCGCCGCACCGGCCCTCGCGTGTGGAGGATAAACGGCCGACCCAGCCATCGCAGCGGCCAGTCAAAGGAAACAGGTCGCGAAGACCAGGAGTTTAGCCTCGGCGAAGACACGGAAGCAATCCGTGAAGATGACGACCCCCGATGCAGTGTCTCTACGGGAAGAGTAAGTGAGGACGTCGGCTTCTCCGGCAGTGACTCGAGAAAGGTCCGTGAAGACCTGGGCCGCCGCCGCAGTGGTTCTCAGGAGGCAGTTAAGGGAGATGGTGGCCACGGTCACAGCAGTTCTTGGGAGAGCGTGAGCGGAGACCGCGGCTTTCGCGACAGCGACGTCAGTTTCAGTCCAGTCGGCGGCCACCAGTCCATTGACTCCGGGGGCACGATCAGAGAAGACCACGGTCTCCGCCTCAGTGGTACTTGGGAGGGAGTCAGGGAAATCCGCGGCCCGGGAACCAGCGACTCCGGGGAAAGGGGCAGTGACGGCCGCCGCCGCCGCCGCCGCCTCAGTGGCTCTTGGGAAGGAGCGAGTGCCGATGGCGGCCGCAGCTTCAGTAGTTCTTGGGAGGGAGTAAGTGAAGACTGCGGCTACGCGGCCAGCGACTCCTCCGGGGTGAGCGGCAGCCAAGACTCCAGCCGCCGCCTCAGTGGCTTCTGGGAGAGAGAAAGTGAAGACGGAGGGTCCGGCTGCAGGGGCTCCTGGGAGGGAGCAAGAGAGGACGGCGGCCGTGGTCCCAGCGAAGACGAAGACGGCCGCCGCAGTGGCTCGTGGGTGACTGCAAGTGAAGACCGCCGCAGCAGCGGGGGCCTGGACGCCTCTCCTCCCGGGAGGCCGTGGGATCGCACCATGCCTGGGGTACCCCTTTCCGGCCCCTCCTCCTCCTCCACGGAGACAGCAACCCCGTGTGAGTCAGATTAATTACTTCGATGACCGTGTCTCTGCCACACTCCCTTTCTCACTTCTGCCCACATCAGCCTTACGCCTTTCTGGCAGTTCCCCTTCTCATCTGTCACTCCTCTTTTCCCTTAAGTGACCTGTTCTGAGTGGCTTCCAAAGCCGTTCACCCTTTCCCTAACCTCCCTTATTTTGGCTTTTCTCCCTTTCTTTACATCTGCACATTCCTGAGACTTCTCGCCCATTGAGACTCTTGTTAAATCTTATGAACCCTTTCAAGTTCTTATTTGACCTTGTGGAGATGAAATTAGACTTAGCTAGTTTTCTTCCTTCCATTCTATTGACTCTCTTCTTTTCTGACTTTTCTTTCAACTTCTCCTTAAATGTTGCCTTTTTCCCTGGACAGTGCCATTACTGGTGCTTTTTTTCTTATGTACTATGACTTCAATCCTACTGAGGACTCTCAAATCTATGTTATTCATTCAGCCATCCAGTAGATATTTATTGAGTGCCTAATATGTGCTGTGTCTTAAGGATATATCATTAAAGAAGACAGGCATATGCTTACCTTCTACTGGGGAAAATAAATACTGAGCAAATAAGGACTAGTGTCATGAATATTATAAAGAAGAATAGCCCTGGCCGGTTTGGCTCAGCGGTTAGAGCGTCGGCCTGCGGTCCTGAGAGACCCGGGTTCGGTTCCCGCTAGGGGCGCGTACCTCGGTTGCAGTTTGTCCCCGGCCCTGGTCGGTCGTGCGGGTGGCAGCCACTTGATGTGTTCCTTTCACGTCGATGTTTCTCTCTGTTCCTCTCTCTCCCTCCCACTCTACCTGAACAAAAAATGGAAAAATGTCCTCAGGTGAGGATAAAAAAAAACCAAAACAAAACAAAACAAAAACAAGAAGAATAGAGTGCCTTTGGTTCCAGTATGGGGTGAGGATGGGTATCAGAAAAACCACCTAATACTTAGACACATCTAACACCAGATCTCTCCTCTGAGCAGCAGACTCACATGTACAAGTCTCTTTTGGAACTCTTCTTGGGGCACCTTAAGATCAACATGTCTAAAATGTAATTTTGGCCCTGATCGGGTGGCTCAGTTGGTTGGAGCATTGTCCCATACACCAAAAGGTTTCAGGTATGTTTCCCTCCTAGGTTTCGGGTTTGATCCCAAGTCAAATGGGCACCGCAGGCAACCAGGTGATGTTTCTCTTTCATATCGATGTCTCTCTCTCTCTCTCTCTTCCTCCCTCCCTCTCTCTCTCTCCCTCCCTCCCTCCCTCTCTCTTTCTCCCTCAAATCAATAAAGACATATCCTTGGGTGAGGATTAAAAAATAATAATAATAAAATGTAATCCACATGCCCTCTCTGCCCTTCAGTGTTCACTGTCTCAGTGGCCCCACACCACTCAGGGAACTAAGCCAGACACCTTGGAATTATCCCAATACTCTTCCCTTATTTTGCTCACTATATACATCCAAATTTTGTTCAACCTGTTTTCATAGTATTTGTTGAATATTCTGTTTCTATGACATTCTTAGTTGAAGATCTCAGCCTTTCTGCTGTAGACTACCGTAGCTATTTTCTTAGTGTTCTCCCTGAATCTCTGGTGTTGCATTTTTGCTCCCCAATGAATTCCCATCACCTGCAGCCAGTCCTATAAACCCAGCGTTACAAATCTGATCATTATTAGTCTTCTGTTTAAAACCCCTCAATGACTCCCCATTTAAGTGCTTCTAGCTCTTTATGGCTCCAGTGGCTTCTGTTCTAGGTAAGCTGAACTTGACTGTGTTTCTCTATTTGCCTGTCTTTCCAGATTCAGGATGGTAGTTTGCCAAGAACTCAATTCTTTGATCAGTCTAAGAAAAGTCATTGGTTTTCAATTTGTTCAGCTTTTCTCCTGTACATAAGAGAATGATACTTCCCTGTTCTTTACACGTTAGAACTGAAATGGAAGTCTGATTAAGATGTTAATCACAAACATCTTTGTACTAAATTATTTGGAAAGTCAAAGTGATTCTTTGCTTTCTTTTGACTTATTGCTTAAAGTCTTTTTTTTTGTATTTTAATATATATTTTAAGCAATTTGATTTTTCAGTAGGCACCAGGAAGAAGGTACATTTTGGTAGTATACATGATGCAGTACGAGCTGGAGATGTAAAGCAGCTTTCAGAAATAGTAGAACGTGGAATCAGCATTAATGAAGTTGACCTTCTCCACAAATTTACCCCTTTACATTGGGCAGCACATTCTGGAAGTCTGGAGGTAAGAAGCTAAATAAAATGAGTACGTTTACAGCTGTTAGCAGTTCTATAAATTTAACAAACTGGATTGAGCCCTATATAGATAGGCACTGTGAATATTTTCCTTTTCAATTCAGTTTATTATTGGGTGTTTTGGTTGTAATGGCTTTGTAACAAACTGTGCCAAAACTTAGTGGCATAAAATAACCATTTATTTATGTGCAGGAGCGAACCAGGAATTTGGATCCCAGGGATAGCTTGTCTCTGCTCCATGATGTCTGGGGCTTCAGTTACAGATTGAAAAGCTGGGGTTAGAACCTACTTCTGAAGGCTTGTTCATGCAGATGTCTGGTGGTAGATGCTGGCTGTAGGCTGGGCATCTTAATTCCTCTCCATGTGGGCCTATTTGTGAGGACTCTCCACCTGGCTAGTTTGTGTTTCCTCACAGTGTGGTGGCTTGGCTGGGTTTCAAAGGCAAGCATAAAGGGTAGTTTATAAGAGGATAACATAATGAATACCTAGTTCTCTTAAACCCTAACATTTTTGATTTTTAGAAAACAAATGGAATATGTTTTAGAAATACTCAGAGTTTTAGAAAACAAATGGAATATTATAGATACCTTTGAAATCCCTGAGCACCCCTCCCAAGCACCATTTCTCTCCTTCAAATCCAGAGATAACTATTACCCTGACTTAGGTGTTTATTATTCCTATCTGTTTTATGCTGTTATTGGATATGATTATATCATTACTTTAAATGACAAATTTTATATAAACGACATATGTATCATTCTGCAGCTTGATATGTATGGTTAAATATATGTACTCTAGCCCTGGCCGGTTTGGCTCAGCGGTTAGAGCGTCCACCTGCGGTCCGGAGAGACCCGGGTTCGGTTCCCGCTAAGGGCATGTACCTCGGTTGCAGTTTGTCCCCGGCCCTGGTTGGTCGTGCGGGTGGCAGCCACTCGATGTGTTCCTTTCACATCGATGTTTCTCTCTCTCTCTCTTCCTCTCTCTCCCTCCTACTCTGTCTGTACAAAAAATGGAAAAATGTCCTCAGATGAGGATTAAAAAAAAATATATATATATATATATATATGTACTCTAGTTTCTTTCAGTCATGTAATAGTCTATTGTTAGACTAATATCAGAATTTTTTCATTTTTCAACTGATGCATATTTAGTTGCTTTCAATTTTTAGCTAGTATAAACAGTGCTTAGTGAATTTTTTAATGCAAAACTTCTTATTCTTGAGCTGTGTACAAAGCCAACTAAATTTTTTTCTCATTATTCAAGGTTGTGTGTGGGGAGTTTATTTTATTTATTTATTTTTAAAATATATTTTTATTGATATTTTAGAGAGAGAGGAAGGGAGAGATAGAAACATCACTCAGCTGCCTCCTGCAGGCCCCCTTCTGGGGATGTGTCGTGACTAGGAATTGAACCAGGACATCTCAATCCACTGGACACCGCTCAGTCTACTAAGCCACGCCAGCTGGGCCGGGGAGCTTATTTTATTTTTTATTAAAATAAAATTTTTTTTCTTTATTGATTTTAGAGAGAGAGGAAGGGAGAGGGAGAGAGAGAAATAGAAACATCGATGAGCGAGAACATCAATTGGCTGCCTCTTGCATGCCCCCCACTGGGGATCAGGCCCACAACCTGGGCATGTGTCCTGACTGGGCATTGAACTGGCGACTTCTTGGTGCGTGGGCCGACACTCAACCAATGAGCCACACCGACTGGATGGGGGAGCTTATTTTAGCTACTACATTTCCCCAGCCTATAGGCTGCAGTAGACGTATTCACTATGCAGTCTTTTTTCCTCCCGCTGCTATACAAACATAGGCTCTTTCCTATGATTATGGATTCTCTGTGTGATTTCTTGTTTGTCTGGGCTTCTCTGCTTCTTGGAACCAAATCTGATTTGGAGAATCTCTCTCCACCAGTTTGTGTGCCCCACTTAAAATGTTGTTAACAAGGATTTCCCTTTGGCCTTTTAGTGACTTCCCCTCAGATGAGAGAAATGTGCATTGAGGATCTTTCTGTGAGTGCAGCCTGGGGTGGGGATTTTTTTCTGCTGTTTCCTCCCACATCCCTCTTTGATCTACACTTCGGCAGCTTTCCCATCTGTTCTGAGGTTTGAATTTAAGATGTCTCCTAGTTCATCAAAGATAGGGTTTTCTTCCTGTTTATCTTTTCTTTTTTGATGATTTTGAAGAGATGAAATACTGATTTTACTGTGCTATATTTCAATAGTATTGGACTTCTTAATATATCATTCAATTCCTTTCCTGGTAACCTTTCGAGTTCTCTGCTTACTTTCACTTAGGCTTTTTTGGTTAACCTACCCTGCCTATACTATAAATATAGGTATTTTTATGCTTCTGCCTTTTCTCTTTCTCCAGGCAGTTTTTTTAGACTTCCTTGGCATTAGCATTTCTACAACATAATTCAAGGATTTGCATTCTCTCCTGAATTCTGGCTTTTGTATTGGATGCTTGATCAACTGCTTATGCATATCTGACTAGCATCTCAAATTCAATTGCTGTAAAACTCAGCTATTATTCTTTTCTATCTCTCTTAGTTTTCTAGACTAACGGTTTTTGTTTTTTTAAAAAATATTTTTTCTTTATTGATTTTAGAGAGAGGAAAGAAGAGAGAGAGAGATAGAAACATTGATGAGAGAGAACATTGATTGGCTGCCTCCTGCATGCCCCTGATTAGGGATTGGGCCCACAACCTGGGCATGTGCTCTGACTGGGAATTGAACCGGTGTCCTCTTGGTGCATGGGTCAGCACTCAACCAGTGAGTCACACCTGCCAGGCTAGGCTAATGGTCTTTGAATCATTATTGAGTTATCTCAGTTTTTTGTCATCATCTACAGTACTGGTTTAATAACAACCTCAGAAAAAAACACCACAGAACTGTAAAGCAGTATTGTCAGGAGGTGATCATTGTAAAATATAATACAAAGCAATTAGTTTCCTCAGAAATCTAAGAAGCACCAAATGTGACCTTTATTTGTTTGTTTGTTTGTTTGTTTGTTTGTTTAATCCTCACCTGAGTATATTTTTTCTGTAGATTTTTAGAGAGAATGGAAGGGAGGGAGGGAGGGGGAGAAAGAGAAGAAACAGAAACAGAGACAGACATCAGTGTGAAAGAGACACATGGATTGGTTGTCCCCTGAATGCACCCCTACTGGGGCCAGGGATCGAGCCTGCAACCCAGGTATGAGCCTTTGACCAGGGATTGAACCCACAACTCTTTGGTGAGTGGGCCAACGCTCCAACCACTGAGCCACACTGGCCAGGGCATGACCAATTTTTGAATGTCTGCTTGAGCCCTGGCTGGTTTTGCTCAGTGGTTAGAGCATTGGCCCATGGACCAAAGAATCGTGGGTTCGATTTGGGTCAAGGGCACGTACCTTGGTTGTGGTTTGGTCCCAACCCTGGTCAGGGTTGTGCAGGAGGCAACCCGTTAATATGTCCCTCTCACGTCCATGTTTCTCTCTCTCTCCCTTCTCTTCCTCCCTGTCACTCTATCTGAAGATAAATAGAAAAATGTCCTCAGGTGAGAATTAAAAAAAAAGAATTTTTCTGCTTGAGTTGTCTTAATTTTTTACAATAGCATTACACATTATCAACATTTGTCTGGATCAGTGGTTCTCAACCTTCCTAATGCTGTGACCCTTTAATACAGTTCCTCATGTTGTGGTGACCCCCAACCATAAAATTATTTTCGTTGCTACTTCATAACTATAATATTGCTACTGTTATGTCTTAGGCGACCCCTGTGAAAGGGTCATTCGACCCCCAAAGGGGTCATGACACACAGGTTGAGAACCTCTGGTCTAGATGAAGGTGCCCTTCATGGTGCACACTGATGCAGTAAGAACTTAATCACAGGTCAGTTTATTCCATTCCATCTTTATCTTTTGAATTTGTCTTCTTCATCCTCATAGCCACCGTCTTAGATCTAACTGATTTCCTTCCTTTTTTTGTCTTATCTATTCTAGTTCATATTCTGTATACAAAATTACTACTCTAAAACTAAACTCTGATATTACTTAACACCCATCCTCTTCTATAGGATAAAATTCAAGCTATTTAATATGGTAGACTTATACCTCCAATCTCATCTCCCAACATACTTGTACATTTTGAAAATTGGATATCTTAGATTACATGTTGTAGCAATTCTGGAGTATGATCCTATTCCCTCACCCCTACCCAGGGGTGGTTGTTGCTGTGTGTTTGTTTACTTACCTAGATTAATTATGTAAAATTTGTTTTCCTCACAGTGTGTGGCCACTGCTCAGTTGTTGTTTCTTTTAATTCTTGTTTTTATTTTTAAGCCTGACTTCCTGGGGTTCACCCCTAGGTTAGTATAGCTTAGTGGTCAGCCAGTGACTTATGAGAGCATGTGTTTGAATACTTCGAGCCAGTAAGGATTTCATCTTTTACTGATGGGTCTGTGTGGCCTGAGGAATGTTTTCAAAATCCAAGCAGCTTACAGCCTGACATCTTTTTCAAAACAAAATGTGTTTGCGAGGCCTCTTGTTTAGCAAGGGATGTCTACCTAATTTAATCCCTCTTTAGTTTTTTCTGGGTCTGAGCAGCCTTGTACATGCACATAGCCTTTTAGATCGCAAGGGATAAGTGGAATCTTAGGAAGGCCCACTTTGGCCATCTCATTTCTTGGATTTTTCTGTTAATTTTGTAAGTAATCTTTAGTTTTGTGCTTGCCCCAGCTAGTATCATGACTTCGGGTTAGCTCTGAGGTTGGCTTTCTCAGATTGTTCGGAGGAGTGGAATTGTTTTTGACAATGTGCCTGGGCATGGAATTTCACATGTTGAGCTCCTAATAAAGTCAGCCCCTTGAGAAGGACAATGGAACCGTCCAACCAGGTAGATTTTCTGCATCATGCAGTGGGGGAGAGGGATAGCTGTATGCTCACTCTCCCTGTTCTTACTGAGATTCAGTACATTTTCTGGAATAAATACTTCTCATTTTGTTTTATGCTTTTGGTCAGTTTCCAGAGTCATTAAATTGTTGTTTTTGACAATTTTGTCCAGTTTTATCATTGCCTCTTGGAGAGGATTTGTCAAGCTTCTTACTTAGCCATTTCTGAATTCCTGATTATTTGTCAATTGATTTTTGATAAAGTTGCAAATGTAATCTAATGGAGAACAGATATTATTTTCAATAAATGGTGCTGGCACAATTAGACATTCATATTTAAAAAAAATAAACCTTGACTCACACCTGGTATCATATGCAAAAATGTACTCAAAATAGATTATAGGCAAATTTGAAACTTAACGAAACTAGATGAAAACAGAGGAGAAAATCTTTGCAAATCATATACCTGAACTTGTAACCAGAATAAAGACTCACAACGTAGTAGTAAGAATACAAAAAATCCAATAAAAAAAATGGCAAATGACTTCAATAGATACTTTCTCAAAGATAATATGGGTGGCAATTGAACACATGAAAAGATATTATCATTAGGCATTAGGGAAAAAGGCAAATGAAAACCACAAGAGATGCCACTATACACATATTAGAATGACAAAAATCAGAAAACTCAAGAAATGACAATATAAAGTATTGGCAAGGATATGGAACAACTGAAACTCTTATACATTGCTGGTAGAAGTATAAAATGATACAGCCACTTAGGAAAACATCTTGATAGTTTCTTATAAAGTTAAACATATACTTACCTATGTTCCAGCAATCTCACTTCTACATATTTACCTAGGACAAATAAAAAACCTGTACATGAATGTACACAGTGATTTTATTTCAGTACCTTAACAGTTTTAGTATATGGTGGTCTCCACATAAATATTGGTTGAATAAATGAATCATTTATGGTGATTATTAGAGAAGATGAGCTTTTAAAAAATATATATTATTGGCTATTATTCTCTGTGACAGGCAAAAGGATACTTAAATGGTAAGCCTTTTCAACAAATGATATGGCTATGACTAATTTCAGTGTATTCCAAGGATGCAATCAATTTTAAAAGAAAGAAACTTTTTTTTTTTTTAATCCTTGCCCGAGGATATTTTTCCATTTTCTGTTCAGATAGAGTGGGGGTGCGGGGGGAGAGAAACATCGACATGAAAGGGACACATCGAGTGGCTGCCACCCGCACAACCCAACCAGGGCTGGGGACAAACTGCAACCAAGGTACATGCCCTTAGTGGGAAACGAACCCAGGTCTCTCTGGACCGCAGGCCGACGCTCTAACCGGCTGGGGCAAAAGAAACTTTTTGAAGGTAGAATCTTCAAACTTGAACATATAAAGGCAGTAATACTATATGTGGCACAGACCTCTAAGTACTGTACTATAATGAGACTTCAGGTAATTTTTATAAATCTTTTTTATTTTTTAAAAAACATTTTTTTTTTCTTTATTGATTTTAGAGAGAGAGAGGAAGGGAGAGGGAGAGAGGGATAGAAACATTGATGGAAGAGAACATCGATTGGCATGCCCCCCACCGGGGACTGGGCCCACACCCTGGGTGTGTGTCCAGACCAGGAATTGAACCGGCAGCCTTTTGGTGCATGGGTTGATGCTCAACCACTGAGCCATACCGGTCAGACCCTCTTTTTGTTCCTTTAAATCCTGACCCGAGGATATTTTTCCATTGATTATCAGATAGAGTGGGAGGGAAGGAGGAAGGGGGGGGGGAGAGAGAGACAGAGAGAGAGAGAGAGAGAGAGAGAGAGAGAGAGAGAGAGAGAGAGAAACATTGATGTGAGAGAGATACATTGATTGGTTACTTCCTGCACGACCCTGACCAGGGCCGGGGATCAAACCACAACTGACGTATGTGCCCCTGACTGAAATCGAACCTGCGACTCTGGTCGGTGGGCTGATGCTCTGATTGATGGGCCAAACTGGCCAGGGATACCACCCCTACTTTTTATATAAAACACTGTTTTTTTTGAGAGTGTAATCAGAATAACAAAGTTTACCTTGATACAAAAGCTTCTGGACCCATTCAAAATCTATGGCAGAGACTGCAAACTAGCAGTCGTTAAATGAATTTGGCTCACACATGTTTTCTTTGGCTTGTACCGTATTGGTCAAACATAAGATTTGGATCAGCATTTTACTCACAGCAATGACTGGCTGGAATTGAGTAACATCTGCCACTTATTGACAGAAATGTTGTCTCCAGTTTGTCACAGTTCTCACTGTTCCCTATTGTTTACCCAACAGTAAAGCCAGTGTTGGTTACCATGTGATTGTACTTGTGCTTTTGTTGTTGTCATACCTGGCTTCCTCATTTAGTTACAATGTGTCTCAGGCTGCAAATGTATGATCACAGACTACATTTAAAAGATATAAAAATGTTTAAAACATCTGTCTTATCACATGTTAACATGGTTATTTTATAAATTTAGTGTCTTCATTGGCTTCTCTGGCATGGAGCTGATATTACACAAGCAACTACAAGAGGCTGGACAGCAGCTCACATAGCTGCAATCAGGGGTCAGGATGCTTGTATGCAGGTAATAACTGTTTACTTTTAGAAATTTAGTAAATTTAATTTAGCATAATCTGTTAAGCTATTGCTTTTATTTAAAAAAATCTTTATTGTTGAAATTATTACAGATATTTCCCCCTTTTCCCCCCATTGACCCCCACCTCCCCACTCCCACCCCCCTCCTGCCTCCCTACATTATTATCTGTGTCCATTGGTTGTGCATATATGCATATAAGTTCTTTGGTTTATCTCTTCCCCCCCACCCCAGCCCCTTCCCTTTGCCGTTTGTCAGTCTGTTTGCTACTTCCATGTCTCTGGATCTATTTTGATCATCAGCTTATTTTGTATATGATATTCCATAAATACATGAGATCATGTGGTACTTGTCTTTCTCTGACTGGCTTATTACACTCAGCATAATCCTCTCCAGGTCCCTCCATGTGTCTCAAAGGGTAAAGCTCCATAATATTCCATTGTGTAAATGTACCACAAGTTTTTTATCCACTCATCTGCTGACAGGCACTTAACCTGTTTCCAGATCTTAGCTATTGTAAATAGTGCTTCTATGAACACAGGGGTGCATATATTCTTTCTGATTGGTGTTTCAGGCGTCTTAGGATATATTCCGAGAAGTGGGATCACTGGGTCAAATGGCAGTTTCATTTTTATTTTTTTGAGGAAACACCATATTGTTTTCCATAGTGGCTACACCAGTCTGCATTCCCACCAACACTGTACTAGAGTCCCCTTTTCTCCGTTTTCTCTCTAGCACTTGTTTGATGGTTTGTTGATGGCAGCATTCTGGTAGGTGTGAGGGGATACCTCATAGTCATTTTAATTTGCATCTCTCTGATGATTAGTGATGTTGAGATTTTTTTCATATCTCTTGGCCATTTCTATGTCTTTTTTGGAGAACTGTCTTTCAGTTCCTCTGCCCATTTTTTATTTGGATTGTCTTTCTTTTGTTGAGCTGTATGAGTACTTTATTTTGGATATTAATCCCTTATTTAACTGATGTATCATTGGCAATTACGTTTTTTCAAAGAGTGGGTTCCCTTTTCATTTTGATGCTGGTTTCTTTTGTCATGGCAGAAGCTTTTTAGTTTGATATAGTCCCATTTATTAATTATTTTTCTTTGTTTCTCTTGCCCTAGGCAATGTATTGGTGAAAGTTCTGCTATGTGTGATGTCTGAGATTTTACTGCCAGCATTTTCTTGTAGGATTTTTATGGTTTCATGCCTTACATTTAAGTCTTTTATCCATTTTGAGTTTATTCTTGTGTATGGTATAAGTTGGTGGTCTAATTTTAGTTTTTTGTATATAACTGTCCAATTTTCCCCACACTATTTACTGAAGAGACTATCTTTTCTCCATTGTATGCTCTTGCTTCTTTTGTTGAATATTAATTGTGTATAATGTCCTGGGCTGATTTCTGCTTTGTTCCATTGCTCTATATGCATGTTCTTGTGCCAGTACCAGGCTCTTTGGATTACAATGGCTTTATAGTATAACTTGATACACGGTATTGTGATCACTCCAACTGTGTTCTTCTTTTTTCAAGATTGTTGTGGCTAGTCAGGGTCTTTTATGGTTCCATCTAAAGTTTTGGAGTATTTGTTCTAGATTTGTGAAATATAATATGCCATTGGTGCTTTAATAGGGATTGCATTGAATCTATAGATTGCTTTGGGTAGTATGGACATTTTAATGATATTAATTCTTCTAGCCCATGAACATGGTATATGCTTCCACTTTTTTTTTTATCCTCACCTGAGGACATTTTTCCATTTTTTTGTTCAGATAGAGTAGGGGGGAGAGAGAGGAAGAGAGAGAGAGAAACATTGACATGAAAGGAACACATCGAGTGGCTGCCACCCACACAGCCCAACCAGGGCTGGGGACAAACTGTCACTATGGCACATGCCTTTAGGGGGAACCGAACCTGGGTCTCTCTGGACCACAGGCCGATGCTCTAACCGCTGAGCCAAATCGGCCAGGCCTATGCTTCCACTTTTTAGTATCTTTCTCTATTTCTTTTTTTTCAATGTCCTGTAGTTTTCTGAACAGGTCTTTTACTTTCTTGGTTAAGTTTATTCCTAGGTATCTTAATTTTTTTGTTGCAGTGGTAAGTGGGATTATTTTTTTGGTTTCCCTTTCTAAGTGTTCATTATTGGTGTCTAAGAATGCCATCAATTTCTGGATGTTAATTTTGTATCCTGCTACTTTGTCATATTCACTTATTAAATCCAGTAGTTTTTTGGTGGAGTCCTTAGGGTTTTCTGTGTACAATATCATGTCATCTGCGAATAATGATGACAGGTTCACTTCCTCCTTTCCAATTGGATGCCTTTTATTTTTTCTTCTTGTCTGATAGCTGTGGCTAAGACTTCCAGTACTATGTTGAATAAGAGTGGTGAAAGTGGACATCCCTGTCTTGTTCCTGCTCCTAAGGGAAATTCTTTTAGTTTTTGCCAATTGAGTATGACGTTGGCTGTAGGTTTTTTGTATATGGTCTTTATTATGTTGAGATATGATCTCTCTATTCCCACAGAGCTGAGCATTTTTATCAGAAATGGGTCCAGGATTTTGTCAGATGCTTTTTTAGCATCTATTGATGTGATCATATGATTTTTATCTTTCATTTTGTTTATGTGGTGCATCACATTTATTGATTTGCGAATATTGTACTAGCCTTGTGTCCCTGGAATAAATCCCACATGGTTGTGGTGAATAATTTTTTAATATGTTGCTGGATCCGATTTGCTAATATTTTGTTGAGGACTTTGACATCTATGTTCATCACGGATATTGCCCGGTAATTTTCTTTCTTTGTAGTGGAATTAGGATTCTGCGGGCCTCATAAAAAGAGCTTGGAAGTCTGTCTTCCTCCTGACATGTTTGGAATAGTTTGAGGATAATGGGTGTTGGTTCTTCTTTGAATGTTTGGTAAGACTCCTCTGTGCAGCCATCTGGACCAGGCTTTTGTTTGCTGAGAGTTTATTGATTGCTTCAATTTCCTCAGTTGTTATTGGTATGTTCAGGTTTTCTGAATCTACCTGGTTGAGTTTTGAAAGACTGTATATTTCTAGGTATTTGTCCATTTTGCTTAGGTTGTCCAACTGGTTGGCATATAATTGTTCACAGTATTTTTTAACAATCCTTTGACTTTGTAAGGTGTCAGTTGTTACTTCTCCTTTTTCATTTTTGATTTTGTTTATTTGGGTCCTCTCTCTTTGTTTCTTGGTGAGTCTGGCTAAAGGTCCATCAATCTTGTTTATCTTTTCAGTGAGTCAACTCTTGGTTTCATTGATCTTTTGTATTGTTTTTTGAGTCTCTGTGTAATTTATTTTCCCTCTGACCTTTGTTATTTCTTTCTTTCTACTTACTCTGGGTTTTTATATTTGTTCACTTTTTATTTCTTTAAGTTATAGGGTTAGATAGTCTATTGGAAATTGTTTTTTGTTTCTTGAGGTAAGCCTGTAATGCTATGAACTTCTCTCTCTCAGGACTGCTTTCGCTGTGCTATTGCTTTTATTCTAATAATTTGACCCTGTAGATTTACTTTTATGTTCTAAATAAGAACTTACTGGATTCCATTCATGTTGTAGATATTTTGGTATCAATATCCACTTAAACAAATGATATAAAACAAGAGACCCTTTATCTTCAAAGTAGTTGATTATGTCTGAGTTGTTTTAAGGGATGTCACAGTCATGCACAGATTATCTCCTTTATAGCTTTCCATGCCTAAAATTTCTTATTTAATGTGTTTCATGTCCAGAATAGCACATTAATATGTGGCAGGATCTAATTTATTGGAGTAATTGGATTTAATCAGTGTACTGAAATAGACTGGTATTTGGAGGAATACAAAATTGTATAAGCAAACAGTCCCTGCCTGTAAGAAGCCTGAGATTCTGTTTGGTGTGACAGGAGCTCTACTAGTGTGTCACAAATAGTAGAAAGCACAGTTTATTATTAAGGTTCTAATGAAAAGTACAGATGAGAAGAATTATAGAACATGGAGATAGAGGAATTATAAATGGAGGAAATACAATTTCACCTAAGCCTCAAACAATGGATTGATTTTAAAGAGGTAAGTAGTAAAGAAGCACTGTAGGTAGGGAATATGTCAGGCCCAAATAAAAATAATGCTTATCATCTATTGAACATTTTTAATGTGTCAATCAGTATCCTGCATCACCTCATTTAATACAACAATCTTACGAATTCCCCTTTTTATAGATTAGGAAACAGATTCAGAAAGTTAAGTACCTTGCTAAGTAAGTGACAGAGCAAGGACTTGAACCTATACTTTGTCCTCTTAACCTCTGTGCTGTAATTCTATGTGAAGTCCCTGAACTGGAAAGATGAGATGTGTTCAGGGGATATACTGTTATGTAAGTTTGATTGTTCTGTGGACTGTTATGAACTAAGTTTGGATAAGTTAGTTTGTAAAATGTCTGAGAAGTGGCAGTGGGAAAGAAAGAAAATGAATGAAGACATCTTCCAAAGCAGTCATTAACAGAGTATAATGAGAAGTTAAAATTTTGAGTCAGAATAACAGATAATTATGAAACTATAGCTAGGGATATCAGAAAGGCTGGGGAGATTTGGGAAGCAAGAGGTTAAATTCAATTTGGCACATTTTGAGTTTAAGGTGCATGTAGGTCACTCAGGTGCAGAAGTTGCAGGCAATTTAAAGGGGGGTGGAGACAAAAATTTCAGGAGTAATAAAGTATAGAGAAGAGTGTAGAGTATTGAAGCTCGAATGTCGAAGAATGTTACTAGAGGCATGGGAGGAAGCAGAGAAAAGAGTAGGGAATTTGGATGAAGAAGTCTGAGAGATAGAGCCAGGATCCATTAGGGCTGAGCAAGTAAAGGAAGAAGTTTAAGAATTAGGCAGAATATCAGTTACAGGATAAAACTAAGGGGGAATAAAGCTTAAGGAAATGCTACTGAACTTAAGAGCTCACTGTAAGGCAGTGGTCCTCAACCTTCCTAATACCGTGACCCTTTAATACAATTCCGCATGTTATGGTGACCCCCAACCATAAAATTATTTTTGTTGCTACTTCATAACTATAATTTTGCTACTGTTATGAATTGCCATCGGAAATAATGTGTTTTCCAATGGTCTCAGGAGACTTCTGTGAAAGGATTGTTCGACCTCCAAATGGGTTGCGAGCCACAGGTTGAGAACCGCTGCTGTAGGGGGAGGCTGACTGTATTTTTATGCAGTGGTAGGGGTGACACTCAGTTTGCAGGTAGATTTGAGGTTGAGATATTAATTTGAGAAGTAGAAAGTGAGAATGGTAACTTCAGAGGACATCAGGGTCAAATGAAGCTTTCCTTGATACTTTCCTCCCTCTAAGCAATAGTTTAAGCCATTCCCTCTGCCTTGATTGTCCTTCTCTTCCTCAGAGTGACTTCTTCCTTCTCAGAGCTGATGTGGTGCTTTTTCTTTGTACTATACTGTTTAGTTTTTGCTTATCAAGGACAGCTTTGTATCGTTGATTATCTTCATCTCTGCATAAGTCCTAATTCCCTAAGTTATGTCTTCATATTCTTTGTAGTGTTTAAAACATAGTAAGCACTCAATATATGGTTTGTGATGATTATTAACTAGTTTGTTAATGTGAGTCAGACAAAATCATGGAGATTATTCTTTGTACAACTTTTGATAGAAATAAACTTTTGCCAAGATACTGGTAAATATGGGCTGGTTAAATAAGAAAAAAGGCTGAGGGAGAACAAAACTAAAATAATATTAATTAATAATTTTTTTTTATCCTCACCCGAGGACCTTTTTGCATTTATCTTCAGATAGAGCGGGAGGGATAGAGGGAGGAAGAGAGAAACATCGATGTGAGAGAGATACATCAACTGGTTGCCACCCACACGACCCCAACCAGGGCCGGGGACAAACTGCAATCGAGCTACATGCCCTTAGTGGGAACCGAACACGGGTCTCTCTGGTCCGCGGGCCAACACTCTAACCACTGAGCAAAACTGGCCAGGGCTTAACTAATAATTTTGGTAAAACAATTACTCTGTACATTATATAGAGGGATGTGCTGTGTATATGATATAACCCATATACAGAAACCGGGCCAATTGTAAATTCAGATGGAATCTTCTCTAATGCAGTTAGAAGTTTGATTTGGAGCTTAAACTAGTTACTTTAATAATGAATTTTTTTATTATATTTAAAACCAAGTTAAAATATTCTGTTTTTGAAATAGTGAAAGTTTAAATTTCAGTTTTATTAGCTTAACATTAAAGTATTTAATTTAGTGGTTATTAATTAGTGCTCATGAAAAGTGTGCCTTATAAATTGTATATCCATACTCAAATGAGAATGTGAAATCAGGTATTATAAATGTCTCCTAGTCAATGTTAAAAAGGATCTTAAATATTTTCTTTGGATTAGCTAAGAACTTCTCACACTTGGCCTGTTGCACATATGTAAGAACATATATAATCATTTAGCTAAGTTAATAAATTGCTTGCCTTTAAATAACCTGCATCTGCATTTATGATTTAACATCTATGTTCATGTAAACCCATTCTTATTTCTCTATTTTTAGGCTCTTATAATCAATGGAGCAAATCTGACAGTTCAAGATGATCGTGGTTGCACTCCTTTACACCTTGCTGCAACACATGGACATTCATTTACTTTACAAATAATGCTCCGGAGTGGAGTGGTGAGGGATTCCTGTTAATATTTTAGAATGTATAATCATATAAATGAAATAGCATTGATAGTCTGTTTATCTCTTTCTGACTTTTTAAATACCCTTTAGGGAAGTAATTTGATCTCTCTCTTTAGCTTTTCCATCTTTAAACGTGGGAGCAATAATTTAGATAAATCTTCAAAAACAAAACAAAAGAAAAAACATCCAGTTTTGTAGTGTAAACTATTTCAGAGGCTATGGGTTCTTCATGTCAGCTCATAGTTTAACTGGGAAGCCTCAAACACATGTTAACCAGTGATTGTAAATCATTCTGAATTTCTGTGTGTAACTCTTATGTCATATAATTTATAAAGTGATTTGTATCCCAGACATTTCACTTACTATATTTATTTTTAATATTACCCAGAGGTTGTGAAAATGATAAACTACCTATGCCCAGGCCAGTTTGGCTCTGTGGTTTAGAGTGTTGGCCTGCGGACCAAAGAGTCGCGGGTTTGATTCAGATCAAGGGCACTGCCTCAGTTGTGGTTCAGTCCCTAGCCCCAGTCGGGGTCGTACGGGAGGCAACCAATCTATCTGAAGATTAATGGAAAAATATCCTCAGGTGAGGATTAAAAAGAAAAAAAATGAACTACTTATATTGAAGACATTATGGTAAGAGTTAGTGCTTCTATAGATAAAAAGTGAAAAATATTAATATTTTTTCATTAACTCTTTCTTTATGCTCTTAAGAATATGATTTGATCATTTTAATCCATTCCTTTCATTTTATTTGTCAGGTCCCTATGAACAGTAGAATGATTAGTAAAGTTCCTTTATTAAAAAAATATGTTTTGGCTTGGCCAGTGTGGCTCAGTGGTTGAGCATCGACCCATGCACTAAGAGGTCACTGGACTGATTCCCAGTGAGGGCACATGCCCAGGTTGTGGGCCCAATCCCCAGTGGGGGGTGTGCAGAAATCTGTCAATCGATCTTCTCTTTCATCGATGTTTCTCTCTCTCCCTCCCTTCTTCTCTCTCTAAAACCAACAAAGAAAAATAAATTTAAAAAATATATGTTTTTATTGATTTTTTAGAGAGAGAGGAAGGGAGACAGATAGAAACATTGATTGGCTGCCTCCTGCATGCCCCCTACTGGGGATCTTGGGCATGTGCCCTGACCAGGAATTGAACCAGGGCTTTTCAGTTTATGGGATGTCGCCCAATCCACTTAACCACACCAGCTGGGTTAGTAAAGTTCCTTTTTAAAAACTATTTTTATATGACTAGTTATGTTCTTTTTAAAAATACTTTTATAGCCCTGGCCGGTTTGGCTCAGCGGTTAGAGCGTCGGCCTGTGGTCTGGAGAGACCCGGGTTCGGTTCCCGCTAAGGGCACGTACCTCGGTTGCAGTTTGTCCCCGGCCCTGGTTGGTCGTGCGGGTGGCAGCCACTCGATGTGTCCCTTCACGTCGATGTTTCTCTCTCTCTCTCCTTTCCTCCCTCTCCCTCCCACTCTATCTGTACAAAAAATGGAAAAATATCCTCGGGTGAGGATAAAACAAAACAAAAATACTTTTATAAAATTTTATTAGTATGTTATTAGCTTGTGTGTTCCAATTAGTGGTTTCACTAAATTTTTCTTTTATATTTAGTGTTTGCCTTATAGTTTTAAGAACAGCCTCCAGTTGTCAGTTGTTGAGTTAAGCTGCTACACTTAGTGTTTTCCCTAGAAAACAGAAAGAAACTTAGTCCTTGTGAATGTTACCTCTAGGATCCCAGCATAACTGATGTGAGAGAATGGAAACCTGTACATTATGCAGCTTTTCATGGACGGCTTGGCTGTTTGCAACTTCTAGTTAAATGGGGATGTGGCATAGAAGATGTGGACTACAATGGAAATCTTCCAGGTATCCACAAAAGCAGATATTTTGCTTTTTCATTAACATAAGCTTTTAAAATGTTGATCATGTTTTAAGAAATTTAAACTGTCGTCATTCTGATAGTCCCTCACAAAACTTAAGTAGTAAATATGTTAACATGAACTTTTTTTCATCTTATATTACTCCTATATTGTGTACATTTCATGTGATTGATTTCCTCCCCTTGAACAATATCAGCAAAAGAGAAATTGGCAAAATTAAAAGTTGGATTTTCTTTTCCAGTCAGCTGTTTTCTTCATCTACTGTCTAGTGTTGTTATTTTTTAACTTCATACATCTCTGTCCATAGACTACTTTATTATTATTTTTAAAATGTATTTATTGCCCTGGCTGGTGTGGCTCAGTTGGATGAGCATCGTCCTGTATATCAAAAGGTCTCTGGTTTGATTTCAGGTTTCAGGTTTCAGGTTGGATCCCAGGTCAGCATGCGTGCAGGAGGCAAGTGATTGATGCCCCCTCCCCCCATTCTCTCCCTCTAAAATCAATGAAAATGTATTAAAAAAAATAAAATAAATAAAAATGTATTCCTTTGTATCACTAAGAACATTAGCTATTTATTTTTATCTCATTTTCTTCTACATGTGAGTTAGTCTTCTGCAGCTATGGAGATATTTTTGAGGATGCATTTTTAAAAAATGTGTTTATTGATTTTTAACAGAGAGAGAAAGGAAGGGGAAAGAAAAAGAGGATGGGAGGAACATCGATTTATTGTTCCACTTATTTATGCATTCGTTGGTTGCTTCTTGTATGTGCCCTGACTAGAGATGGACCCACAACCTTGGCATATGGGGACAATGGTCTAACAAACTGAGCTACCTGGTCAGAGCCTCTGTAGACTACTTAAAAAAAAATAGTACTAATAGTGGACACTAGTATATTTGAGTTAATTTGCTGTTGATTGCAATTGTCCAGCCTGCCGGTTGAGATCTATACTCTAAATGTCCTGTCTTCTTCTAAGAGGTGCTGCAGAAATTCATAGGAGGAATAGGTCATACTATGATTGGAGTAAGGGTTACTAAAAATGATACTTGAATTATGTCTTAAAGGAATCTTCAGCAAACAAATAAGTTGAAGTCCAGGCAGAATGTTCATTTAGTGAAGGTTTTTTGGTATAAACTTTTTCAATTTTTGTGTCTAGAAATGATTATTTTGCTCTCATCTTTTTTTTCCAATACATTTTTGAATAAAGTTTTTACAATAAATTTATTTATGTATATGGTGTGAGCAAATGGTCCAGATTCATTTTTTGCATGTGTCTGTCCAGTTTTTCTAACACCATTTATTGAAGAGATTGTCTTTTCTGCATATTCTTGGCTCCTTTGTCATAGATTGATTGACCACATAAGTGTGGGTTTACTTCTGGGCTCTCTATTCTGTTCTTTTCACTTTTATGTCCTTTTTTGTGTGCCAGTACCATACTGTTTTGATGATTATGGCTTTGTAGATTGCTTTGGGTAATATAGACATTTAATGATACTAATCTTTCTAATCCATGACCAAAGTGTTTATTCATGTTGTCTTCAATTTCCTCATCAAAGTCTTTTAGTTTTCAGAGCACAGGTCTTTTACCTTCTTGGTTAAATTTATTCCTAGGTTTTTTATTCTATTTGATGCAATTGTAAATGGGATTGTTTTCTTAATTTCTCTTTCTTTCTTTCTTTTTTTTTTTTTATCCTCACCCGAGGACATTTTTCCATTTTTTGTTCAGATAGAGTGGGAGGGAGAGGAAGAGAGAGAGAGAGAAACATCGACATGAAGGGACACATTGAGTGGCTGCCACCCGCACGACCAACCAGGGCCAGGGACAAACTGCAACTGAGGTACATGCCCTTAGCGGGAACTGAACTCGGGTCTCTCTGTACCGCAGGCCGACGCTCCAACCCCTGAGCCAAACTGGCCAGGGCAGTTTCTCTTTCTGATAGTTTGTTATTAGTTGATTAAAGTCTTAAATATAAGACCCGATACCATAAAACTTCCTACTAGGAAACATAGGCAGTAAACTCTTTGACAATGATCTTAGAAATATTTTTTTTGGATGTGTCTCCTCCAGAAGGGACAACAAAAGCAAAAATAAACAAATGGGAATACATCAAACTAAAAAGCTTTTGTACAGCAAAGGAAACCATCAACAAAATAAAAAGACAACTTACTGAATGGGAGAAGATATTTGCAAATGACTTGTCTGACAAGGGGTTAATATCCAAAATATATAACAAATTCATATCACTCAACATCAGAAAACCAAACAATCCAATCAAAAAATGGGCAGAAGACTGGAATAGACATTTCTTCAAAGAAGACATACAGGGAATCAAAAGACATATGAAAAGAAGCTCAGCATTGCTAATCATCAGGGAAATAAGATATCATGTCACACCTGTCAGAATGGGTTTTATCAAAAAGTCAACAAATAACATGTTCAGGGTGTGGAGAAAAGAAACCTCACGCACTGTTGGTGGAACTGTAAATTGGTACACCACTATGTAAAACAGTATGGAGGTTAAAAAAAAAGTAACTGCCTTATGACCCAGCAGTTCCACTTCTGGGTATTCACCATTGAAAACAAAAACACTGATTTCGAGATATATGCATCCATATGCTCATTGTAGTATCATTTACAATAGCCAAGTGCCCATCAATAGACAAGTGGATAAAAAAGTTGTGGTACATATATACAATGCAATATTACTTAGCCATTAAAAATGATGAAATCTTGCTATTTGCAGCAACAGGGATGAACCTAGAGGGTTTGATGCTAAGTGAGATAAGTCAGATGAAGACAAATACCATACAATTTCACTTATATGTGGGATCTAAATAAATAAAACAGAAACAGACTCATAGATACAAAGAACAAACTGATTTTGCTGGAGGGGAGAGGTTGGGAAGATGGATGAAAATGGTGTAGGAGAATAAGATGCAGATTTCTAGGTATCAAATAAGTCACCGGGATATAATGCACAGTATAGGGAATTTAGTCAATATTGTAATAACTGTACAGATGACCTGTGGTTACTAGACTTATTGTGGCAATCACGGCATAAGATATATAAATGTCAAATCGCTATGTTGAACACCTGAAATAATACTTCAATAAAAAAATAAGTTTAAAAAACTTTAGTTGGAGTAGAACATGCATATAGAAAAGTGCCCAATTTAAATGCACAAGCTTATTGAATTTTCACGAACACTTCTCTTAAGTTGAATTTTTTTTTTTTTAATCCTCTCTGGAGGACATTTTTCCATTTTTTGTTTAGATAGAGTGGGAGGGAGAGAGAAGAGAAAGAAACATCCATGTGAAAAGGACACATCGAGTGGCTGCCACCCGCACGACCCAACCAGGGCGGGGGGCCAAACTGCAACCGAGGTATGTGCCCTTAGTGGGAACTGAACCGGGGTCTCTCTGGACCGCAGACTGACGCTCTAAATGCTGAGCCAAACCGGCCAGGGCATGAACACTTCTCTATCACCATAAGCAGATAAAGAAATTGCCCTGGCCGGTTTTCTCAGTGGTTAGAGCACAGACCCACCGACCAAAGGATCCTGGAATCAATTCCCGGTCAAGGGCACATACCTGGGTTGTAGGTTCGATCCCTGGCCTCTATTAGGGTCATGTGCGAGACCACCAATCCACATTGATGTTTCTCTATTTCTGTCTCCCTTCGAATCAATGGAAAAAATATCCTTGGGTGAGGAGTAACCAAAAAAAAAAAGCCTCCTTCATATCCACTTTTTGGTTAATCACTCCAAAGTTAATCACAACCTTGACCTCTAACATAAAAATTAGTATTTTCTTTTTTCTGAACTCTATGGAGTAAAATAATATATTGGTATTCTTTTGTGTCTGGCTTCTTTTGAGTTTCCAAAGTGGTTGTATCAATTTATATACCCACAAGCACTCTTTGAGACTTCAAGTTGTTCTACTTTCTCATTGACACTTGATTTTTTTAAATTTATTTTTTTAGTTTTAGTTACTCTTTTGGGTGTATAGCGATATCTCATGGTTTTAATTTGCGTTTTTCCTGATGACTAAAGATGTAGAACACCATTTCATATGCTTAATGGTCACTTGGTTATTTTCTTTTGTGAAGTACCAGTTCAGATCCTTTGCCTATATTTTATTAAGTTAGTTGTCTTTTTAAAAATCCAATTGTAGCCCTGGCCGGTTTGGCTCAGCGGTTAGAGCGTCGGCCTGCGGTCTGGAGAGACCCGGGTTTGGTTCCCACTAAGGGCATGTACCTTGGTTGCAGTTTGTCCCCAGCCCTGGTTGGGTCGTGTGGGTGGCAACCACTCGATGTGTCGCTTTCACATCGATGTTTCTCTCTCTCTCTCCCTCTCACTCTATCTGAACCAAATATCAAAAAAAAAGGTCCTCGGGTGAGGATAAAAAAAAAAAAATCCAATTGTAGACATTCTTTCTATACTTTAGATTAGTGATTTTCAACTGATGTGCTGTGACACGCTGGTGTGCTGCAAGACTTGAAAACGTGCAGTACCTGACTATTTACTCAGGTACACTGACCTCTTGATTTTCAAATGCAAAAATACAACAACCAACACAACAGTAGCCATCCAGTGTGAACGAGTCAAAATTATACCTATTTTTTTTGTCAGATTGGCAAAATATGTATTTTTTGGTGTTCCCCAGAATTTAGTAATTAGTTTATGTGTGTGTGTGCCATGAGATGAAAAAGACTGAAAATCACTGTTTTAGATGTAATCTCTGTCATTTACATGTGTTGCAAATATCTTTTCTTTTTTCTTTCTTTCTTTTTTTTTTATCCTTACCCGAGGCCATTTTTTTCCATTTTTTGTTCAGATAGAGTGGGAGGGAGAGAGAGAGAGAGAGAGAAACATCGATATGAAAGGGATACACTGAGTGGCTGCCACTCGAACGACCAACTAGGGCCGGGGACAAACTGCAACCAAGGTACGCGCCCTTAGCGGGAACCAAACCCAGGTCTCTCTGGACCGCAGGCCGACGCTCTAACTGCTGAGCAAAACCGGCCAGGGCTCTTTTTCTTTTCTTTTTATTTTTTCCTTTCTTTTTTTCAATCCTCACCTGAGGACGTTTTTGCATTTATCTTCAGATAGAGTGGGAGGGAGAGAGGGAGGAAGAGAGAGAGAAAAACATTTATGTGAGACACATAGACTGGTTGCCACCCACACAACCCCAACCAGTGCTGGGGACAAACCACAACCGAGGTACGTGCCCTTAGTGGGAACCAAACCCAGGACTCTGGTCCATGGGCTGACGTTCTAACTGCTGAGCCAAACCAGCCAGGGCGCAAATATCTTTTTCTTTTAAATATATTTTCTGTTCTGTGGCTTATCTTTTCATTCTTTTAGGGTGTTTATTTATTTTTTGTTAATCCTCATCCAAGGATATTTTTTTCATTGATTTTTAAACAGAGTGGAAGGGAGAGAGGGAGAGGGAGAGAGAGAGAGAAAGAGAAACATTGATATAAGAGAGACACATTGATTGGCTGCTTCCCCCACAACCCCAACCAGGGCCGGGGATGGAACCTGCAACTCAGGTACATGCCCTTGACCGGGAATGGAACCTGTGACTCTTCGATCCAAGGTCAACGCTCTTAACTGCTGAGCCAAACTGGCTAGGGCCAGTCTTCTTGTTTTTAATAAAAATAAGTTTATGGAAAAGTGACGAATTATGTAGTGATAAAAAGAACATCATTCATATTTGCATAGTGACAATTTTGGCTTGTTTCTTCCCCTATTTTTCAAAATATTAAAAAAATATGTCTATCATCTATCTATGTTAAATAGCAAGCATTGTCTCATGTAATAGTAAACTGCATAACTGCGATTCACTTTCCAAGAAAATTTTCTGGTGACCCTCATTTGGCCTTTCCACACTTATATTAAGTATTGCTTTGGCAAGACTGGAAGGCTGAGTAAGGACATGTAGGCTGGAAAAAGGTCTGTTATCCTTGCTAAGAGTATGTCTCTGTTATATAGGGCAGGATAGTCATCTTCCTATGAGCATTACAGTCAATGTGTCATTTTTTTTAATGATTATTTTATTATCAACTTAAACATGAAATTATTTTTTTCTCTCACCTGTAGTTCACTTAGCAGCCATGGAAGGCCACCTTCACTGTTTTAAATTTCTGCTCAGTAGAACGAACAATGCAGCACAAGCTTTGAAAGCCTTCAATGACAATGGAGAAAATGTATTGGACCTGGCCCAGAGGTTCTATAAGCAGAACATTTTACAGTTTATCCAGGGGGCTGAGTATGAAAGAAATGATTCAAAAGATCAGGAAAGTAAGTATAAACCTGAAATGTTTTAGCATTTAATATGTAGAATAAATGGAAAAGGAAAAGAAAGAAGTTATGTTAAATGTTATATTAAAATATGTTATATATCATTATCGTTATATTCAGGTTCTTGCCTTTATTATGAAATATTTTAGGCAGAAATATACAGAGATTAATGTAATGAACAATTTTCATACCATTGAATTTAAGAATAAAATAGTATAGATACAGTTGAATCTTTTGGATCTCTCTCCCCTAATACCATCCATTCCATTTTCTTCTTCCTCAGAGATAACTATTGTTTTGGCTTTGTAATTCCATTCTATGGTTTTATATTTAGTATATACGTACTCACAAAAATATGCAGTATTGTTTAGTGTAATTTTAGAGTAAGAGACCAAACTGCTATAACTAAGAAATCCTGACATTCAATGGTTAAATGATATAGAAATTTCTTTCTTTTACATGACAGCTTTGACTGGAGAATAAATCTGTTCTATATCTTCCCAACTAAATCTCTGTAGTTGTTAATCCAGAAGAAGATGAGGAGGAAACAAGAGTATATGCCTAAGACTAGATATTTTCAAGGTCTAATTTACACTAATCACTTTGCTAACTTACCATTGACAAGAGTTTTGTTACATGGTCATACGTAGCTGCAAGGAAGCCTGGAGAATTTACCACCTAGCAGAGAAGCCTCATCTCAGCTGAAACTGTCTTACTAATGAAGAAAAGGGATTTTAGTAGACAACTGGCAGTTTTTAAATCTTCTTTTAAAACTTTATAAAAATGGCATAAAAGAGTACATATCCTTCTATGACATATTTTTTAGATTAGTTGATACATATATCCTAGTTTCTTCTTTTTTTTAAAATCCTCACCCAAGGATATGTTTATTGATTTTAGAGAGAGAAAAGGAGAGAGGGAGAGAGAAAGAAAGAAACATTGATTGGTTGCCTCTTGTACATGTCCCAAGTTGGGACTAAACCTGTGACCTAGGTATGTGCCCTGACTGGGAAGTGAACCCATGACCTTTCAGTGTACAGGATGGTGCTCCAACCAAGTGAGTCACACAGGCTAGGGTTAGTTTATTCTTTTTAAGCATTTATATAATATTACATTTTATACAAACCATTATTTATTCATTCTCCAATTTGCCATTACATTGTTTATAGTTTTTTGCTATTACAATCAATATGGTAATGAATATTGTCCATGTCTCCTTATGTACATATACAAGAGATTCCTCAGAGAAGTGCTTCCCTACCTTTTTCACACATGGCCTACACAGAAATGATATTTGTATGTCACACTGGGATCATTGAAGGAGGGTTATTGAGGTACTGCTTATCTTCTCTGAAGATTGAGAGTTAATAGCTTTGCCTTGATAAATAGTTGGGAACTACTTTAGATTTTGCTTTGTGGGATATGCCCATCTTCAGTATAAATAGGTATTGCTTAATTCTTCATTAATGTAATGTGGTTGTAGAAATTTACACTCATCAGCTATGTTTGCTAAGAATTTAGAGAAGCAGTATTCAGTAATGTCAGATTTAAATATTTTTGCCAATTGGTTGGGTATGAAAAAGTTTAATTTGTGTTTTGATTTTCATTTTCTTGACTAGTAATGAGGTTGAACATTTTCTTTTAAAGTTATTGGCTGTTTTAGTTTTCTCTTCTATGAATTGCCTGCCTATACCTATCTCCCTTTAAAAAAATTCTGTTCTTTGTCCTTTTCTAAATGTTTTGAGTTCTTTCTATGGTCTCAGTTCCAATCCTTTATTAATTTTATCGGATATAGATATTTTTTCTCACACTGTGGCTTGTTTTTTCCCTTTGATGATAGCCTTAAAAAAAAACAACTTTATTAAAGTATGGCTTATATACAATAAACTGTATTCATTTAAAGTGTGGAATTTGATGGGTTTTGACAGTTGTATATACTTATTAAACCACTACCACAATCCAGATACAAAACATTTCTATCACCTCAAGGGTTTTTTCATACCCCCATGCCCCATGGAGTTCACCCTTCCTTTGACCTTGGCCCCATACAACCAATTTGTTTTCTGTCACTATAGATCAGCGATTTTTAACCCTTTTCATCTCATGGCACACATAAAATAATTACTAAAATTCTGTGACACACCAAAAATATATTTCTTGCCGATCTGACAAAGGAAGTAGGTATAATTGTTTTATCTTTTTAACTTTTAATAATTATTTTTCTCTTAAAAATATTTTTTAAGAGAGAGAGAGGAAGGGAGATAGGGAGAGCGAAACATCAATTGGCTGCCTCCTGCATGCCCCCTACCAGGGATAGAGCCTGCAACCCAGGCATGTGCCCTGACTGGGAAGAACTGGCAACCTTTCAGTGCACTGGACATTGCCCAACCGAGTTACGCTTGCAAGGGCAAAAATAGGTATAATTTTGATTCATTCACACTGGATGGCTATTGTTGTATTGGCTGTTGTCATTTTTTTTATTTGACACTCTAAGGGACAAGAGGTCAGTGCCCCTGACTAGATAGTCAGGCATTGCATGTTTTAAAAGTTCTTGCGGCACACCAGTTGAAAATCACTGATATAGATTAGTTTGAATTTTATAATGGAACCATTTTGAGTTTCATCTGTGTTACATATATTAATAGTTTATTTCTTTTTATTGCTGAGTAGTATTTCACTGTATGGATGTGCCATATTTTGTTTATCAGTTCACCTGCTGATGAGTATTTGGATTGCTTCCAATGGGCTATTATTAATAAAGCTGCTCTGAACATTTACATGGACATATGTTTGCATTTCTCTTGATAAATACATAGGAATGGGGCATATGGTAGGTGTATATTTTACATTAAGAAGTTGTCAAACTGTTTTCCAAAGTAGTAGTATCACTTTTTTTTTTTTTTTTTTTTTTTTTAGTAGTATCACTTTAAATTCCCACCAGCTATGCATAAGAATTTTATTTGTTCCATGGAATTCCCAACATTTGATATGGTCAGTCTGTTTTATTTCAGCCATTCCAATAGATGTGTAGTGTTATATTATTGTGGTTTTAATCTACATTTCTCTGATAACTAGATACTGAGCATCTTTTCAAAACATGGACATTCATATATCTTCTTTTATGAAGTGTCAATTCAATTCTTTTGCCAATTTTTATTGGGTTGCTTGTCTTGTCTGCTAATTATTGAATTTTGATAGTTCTTTGTGTTTTGTCAGATATATATATTGCAAAAATTTTCTCCCACTCTGAAGCTTGCCTATGTTTTTTAGTAGTGTCTTTCAAAGAACAAAACTTTAAAATTTTGATAAAATACAATTGATCAATTTTTTTTACAGGCCATGTTTTTTTGTGTCCTATCTCTGATATATGATATCTATGCTATGCCCACCCCAAGGTCAGAAAGATATTCTTCTATGTTTGTTAGAAGTTTTACAGTTTTAGCTTTTTAATTCATATCTTTGATCTACATCAAGTTAAAATTTATGTGTTGAGTGAAATAAAGTGTTGATTTTAATTAAAAATGAATATGACTAAGAATAGTTCCGGTATAATACTACTCCTAGCATGTTTGAGGTCCTGAGGGGTGGAAGGGCTACACAATTGATAATGGTCTTATTTTGTGGTTCTCTTTTTATTACTTTATTATCAACTGAACTAATTCCAATATAACATTTTCATACTTCAGTTAATATTGAAATCTAAAATGTGTGACTGCTTAAGGCAGGAAAAAAGAATGAACTCATGTGTTTACTGAAATGCTGAATTTTTTATTCATAGCTTTAGCATTTCCAGGTCATGTGGCTGCCTTTAAGGGTGATTTGGAAATGCTTAAGAAATTAATAGAAGATGGAGTAATCAATATTAATGAACGTGATAATAATGGATCAACTCCTATGCATAAAGGTGAGTGAGTTATGATTCCTGCTTAATTTTGAATTCTAACACTGTTGAGTTATTTACCTTTTAAAATAGTTATCCATCACAAACACATGAAAATTATGGTATAGAGTGCTTAATTTTAATTTTATCTTTTTTTTTTTTTTTTTTAATCCTCACCCAAGGACATTCTTCCACTTTTTTTTGGTTCAGATAGAGTGGAAGAGAAAGAGAGGAAGAGAGAGTGAAACATCAATGTGAAAGGGACACATCGAGTGGCTGCCACCCACACGACCCAACCAGGGCCGGGGACAAACTGCAACCGAAGTACATGCCCTTAGCGGGAACCGAACCCGGGCCTCTCGGGACCGCAGGCTGACGCTCTAACCACTGAGCAAAACTGGCCAGGGCTGGAGTTTTGTTCTGTTGTTTCATTTGGGACCTCTTTCTTTGTCTCTTGATTTTGGCTGCCTCCCTGTGTTTGCTTCTATGTATTCCTTAACGAGAGGTATGGGGCTAGCTGAAACCAGATGCTGCTTGTTTGAAAGAATTTAGGAAAACCTGAAGCAGGATCCAAGACAGGCCAATCCTATGGTAAAGTAACTGGCAACAGCTTGGGTGGGCCTGAAAGTTGAGTGTGGCAGGGCCTCAGGGAATCACCATGGCGGGGGCAAACAGTGTGAGTCAGGTTGCTGGAGTCCCAGATATGGATGATAGCTGTCTGCTGCCCCAGGGAAGGGCTCGCCAAAGGAACAAAGGCCTCTGATAGCACATCTGTCCAGGAGAAAGCTGCTTCTCCAGCCCTCGCTTCAGTGCCAAACAACTCAGTCCATATATCTCTGGTGCCTTTCAAGCTGTCTCCCCCACGCTGGAGCCTAGAGGGAGGGAGTCCAAGTAAGTCTATGCGTGAGCCCTTTAAGAGGAGCTACCGGGGGCTACAGAAGCCTCAGCCTCCCTGAGCCTCAGTTCCCCCTGGTTTTTCCAGCCATAAGTTATGGGGACTTCTCTTCCTGGCACTGGAACCCTGAACTAGGTGCCTGGTGTGGGATGGGGCCCCTCAGTCCTCAGGGAGGATCTTCCCAGCCGAGGTATCCTCCTAATTTTTATCCACCACTCATGGGTGTGGGACCAGCCCATCGTGCCTCTCCCCCTCCTACCAGTCTTGATGTGGCTGCTTCTCTAATTTCGTAGTTGTAGGACTTCCGTTTAGCTTGATTTCAGGCGGTTTTGAATGATGGTTGTTCTGTAGTTTAGTTGCAACTTTGATGTGGTTGTGGGAGGACGCGATACCGTGTTTACCTAGGCCACCATCTTGCCTATTTTATCTTTTGTTAAGTTAAAAATTTTTTTCTTGATTTGAGAGAGAGGGAGAGAGAGAGAGAGAGAGAGAGAGAGAGAGAGAGAGAGAGAGAGAGAGAGAAAGAAACATTGATTTTTGTTGCTCCATTTTTTATGCATTCATTGGTTGTTTCTTGTATGTGCCCTGACTGGGGATTGAACCTGCAACCTTATTGTATTGGGACAATGCTCTAAGCAACTGAGCTACCCAGCCAGGGCCAGAGTGCTTAATTTATGATGTCAGACATTCACACATTATCACATTTGAGAGTAGCTCCAGTAGAAATTCTGTTTTGATGTTGTCATGTAGTTCACTGATAGAAAATTTCTTAGGACTAACATTTTCTTTGGACTAAAAAGAACCTATTGGATGCTAAAACAGAAACCATATCTCTTGAAAAAGATCTAGCAGAATTTTCTTTTTTTCTTATACTCTGCAAAAGTGTTTTAACTTTCATAGAAATATCAATTAACATGATATGAACTTATTTTCTAGATTTCTGCAACTTTTCTCTGTACTTTCCTTCCTTCTATGTGGAATTCTGAAATATTAATTTTTTTTTTTTTAAATCAGGCTTTGTCAAATTGTTAACTCAGTGTTGGGAGTATATTTCTAGGATTTATTCCAAAAGTTCATGCTCTGATTTATTTTACAGAGGCACGTACATATTCAGCACCAACCATGTGCCTGCACCATGGAGACTGCATGAGATACAGACCTTACTGTTAAGAAGCTACATACCTATGCAATGAACTACTAGAGATTTGTATAAGTCAGGATGTAATAAATGACAAAAAGTATTTGGTTGTTAAAATATATGCAATAGGAATTCAGGAGTAGAAATTGAACAGAAGAATTTGTTAAGGGTAAAATTATTGAGGAAGTGTTTATGGGAATTCAGAAATAATACCTTATGTTTATATGACATTTAACACGGTACAAAACTGTCATATTTAATCCTTATTGTAACTTTATGAAGTATAGTAATTTATACTGCTGCTTTATAAATATGACATTATCTCTGTAAAATATTAGGAAATGGAGGTCCAGAGGAACCAGGTTTTTTTGACTGAGGTTACACAGCTGGTAAAAGCTTAGCTGAGATTTCATTCATTTTTTTCTTCATTCGTTCACTCATCAGTTCTATAGACATTTGTTGCAGGTCTGTACATGCCAGCCTCTTGCTAAATTCTATTCTGTCCTGCAGTCTTATTGTTTAGTAGACTTAAATTTAGTTCTTTTAAGTCTGTTAAGTTTTTTCTCCAGTTTCCCTGAGTGTTGAGATGGACCTAGAAGGATGGGTAGAAATTAGATAAGTACACTGTTGAGTGATGGGCACTAGGTGAAAAGACACATTAGCAGAGTTGTGGAGGTAAAAATTAATATTGAGTGCATGTGTTTTGAGGACAAGATTTTGAAAAAGTTGTAAACAGTTTAGGTAATCAGTGGGAGACCTGTATGTTTTGAGTTGTGAGGGTCAGAGGAATAAGCTAATAATATCAGATGGCACAAAATTTTCAAAGTCAATGTGGATCTCTGTGGCTAGATTGCACTCCTATTCTGGTATGATAAAAGATTGGTCAGGAGCTATAAATAGCAGCAGATGAGCACTAGATAGGATTAGAAAAAACTAGGTTATAGTTTCAAATTGATTACTTACTAATTTTGTGATGTTAAATAACCTCTTTGAACCTCAGCTTTTTTATATCTGTATGTAAAGTTCTCTGTATAGGTGATGAGAACAGTACATATTTGATTTAATGTTTGTCTAATGAATAAATAAATGAAATAGAGAAAATTACATCTGCCTAACCTACTTTCATTGATTATTGCAAGGATTAGTACTTATGAAATTACTCTCTAATGGTTATTGTTCAAAATTTTGGAAAATTGCTACTAATAACAATAATTCTTTTTGTGTATTTTCTGTTTTGGTGTGTGTTTTTTTTACAGCTGCTGGACAAGGCCACATAGAATGTTTGCAGTGGATAATTAAAATGGGAGCAGACAGTAATATTACCAACAAAGCAGGGGAGAAACCCAGTGATGTGGCTAAGAGGTATCCCTATCAGCTTTGCTTTTTTTTTCTTTCTAAAGTTCTGCATATAATCTCTTATACTCAGAAATCTCTGAAGATTTATTTAATGGAATTATAGGACTCAGTCGAATGCTGATAGAATGACAATATAAGCTGAATAGACATTTGACAGTGTATCATCTCTTCTCTTTAAAGCAGTGATTCTCAACTGGGAGGTAGTATTGTCCCCTTTCCTGGTAGGAGGGACATTTGGAAATATGTAGGGGTTTGTCACAATGACTAGCGAACATCATTACTATTTGGTGAGGTCCGGTCCAATAGTGCTCAGAATAGTGGTACACAGCATAGAATCATCCCACCCAAATGCTGGCACCTGTTGAGAAATATTGTGTGATAAAAAGAGGTAATCAAAAGGAATCACATGGGTTTTGAAACAAATTTTGGTATTTACATTTGAATTAGATATAACAGCTATTATTGAACACCTCCAGCTCATTCAGGTCAGGTTCTCAAGGAATAGTCCATTCATTTATTTGGTTGGTTTTTTAAAATTCAACTTTATTATATTTATCATGTTCCAAATGCTAAGATTAGTGTTAGGATTACAAAGATGAAAAAACACAGTTCTTGCCCACAAAGGAGCTTGGAGTCTTGTGGAGAGACAGATTATAATTATTATAATCTGTAATTATAATAATAATTATAATCATTATGTGTGAGCATAATTATTAATTATAATCATTATATCATATTACATTATGTGTAAGGTACAGTAAGAACATAGGAGAAAAAGTACCCAAGTCTTCCTATTTGAAAGGGGTGGAGGAGAAATATTAATACAGATGATGGTAAGAATTACGAATGAAACTAACTGTAGGAGGACAGAATTTATATAGAGGTCAAGGAAAACTATTTTTTTGGTGAAAGCAACATTTATGCTCACTCTTGAAGGAGGAAGAACTGTAAGAAGACAATTGTGTGTCTGAGGAACTGCATGTGGTTCAGAACTGCTTGAATGTAAAGTAGGAAGGTGTGCCCTTACCTGGTGCTCAGTTGGTTAGAGTGTCATCCTTGTATGCCAAGGTTTGATCCCTGTTCAAGGCACATACAATAATCAACCAATGAATAAATAAATAAATAAGTGAAACAACAAATTGATATTTCTCTCTAAAATCAATAAACTAAAAAATAAAAAATAAAGTAGGAGTGTGGGCTAAAAGATGCAAATGAGGCTTCAAAGGATGGATACAAGGATCTAATCATTAAAATCTCATGCAATTTTTTGTTTATGAGTTCATGTTTCTTAAAATTTTGCCTGTGGGATTTCTTTGGAGCCTTGGAGTGCGATTTTATTGTACCATGTACCTAGGATTATGATCAACTGAGGCCCACTCTGTTTTTATAAAAAGCTTTATCAAGATATAATGGGCATGCAGTAAAGTGCATATACTTGTACAGTACAACTTAATGAATTCTAATATATAGATATACACCCATGCAACCATCACAATCAGGATTGTGAAAATATTCATGACCCCAAAGTCTTCTTGTGCTCCTTTGTAATCTCTCTCCCTTCCACTGCTGGCTTCCCCAAGCAAACACCGATCTGTTTTTGTTACTACAGATCAGTTTGCATTTTCAGAGTTTTATGTGAAGGGAATCCTGTAATAAGTATTCTTATATAGCTAGCTTCTTTCACTCAGCATAATTATTTTGAGAATTTATATGTATTAGAAGTTCATTTCTTATTGCTGAATAGCATTCCATCAGATGTAGAATTCCATAGTATTCCATAGATTGATTATCTACTAACCTGTTGAAGGAAACCTTGATTATATCCATTTTTGTGTGACTATAAATCAAGCTGCTATAAACATTTACATACAGGCTTTTGCGTGAATTTGAGTTTTTAGTTCACTTGGGTAAATACTTAAGGGTAGTATTGTTGGGTCATATGCTAAGGATATTTAACTTTACAAGAAACTGCCAGTGTCTTCCAAAGTGACCATAGCAACTTGTTCCCACCAACAATGGATGAAAGTTTCTGTTGCTCCTTATCTATTCAGCAGTTGATATTGTCAGGTTCTTTGAGTTTAGTAACTTTAATAGATGTGCAGTGATAGTCTCATTGTGGTTTTAATTTGTATTTTCCTAATAAAAATTATTATGATTTTGAGCATTTTTTCATATATATATTTGCCATTTGTATATTTTCCTTTGGTGAAGTGACTGTTCAGATCTTTTGTCCACTTTTAAAAACAGGGTTGTTTTCTTTCTGTTGAATTTTAAGAGCTCTTTATGTGTTCTGGATACTATTTTTTTCCTCACATTTTTGTTTTGTAAAACTTTTGTCCCAGTTTTGGCTTATTTTTTTTCATTCTCTTAACAATGTCTTTGAAGAACAGAAGTTTTTATCAATTTGTTCTTTTATGGATGATGCTTTTGATATCATATTTAAGAAATTGTTGATTAAAACAAAGTCACAGAGATTTTCTCCTGTGTTTTATTTTAGATGTTGTATAGTTTTAGGTTTTACTAACGTCTATGATCCATTTTGAGTTAATTTTTATATATATTGTGAGGTACGTATTCAAGTTTATTTTATTTTATTTCATTATTTATTTATTTATTTATTTTGGTACGTGCCCCTAGTGGTAACCGAACCCGGGACTCTCTGGTCCGCAGGCTGATGCTCCAACTGCTGAGCCAAACTGGCCAGGGCAAGTTTATTTTAAATATAGATATCCAATTGTTGTATCATCATTTGTTGAAAAGGCTGTCCTTTCTTCACTGTATTACCTTTGTGTCTTTGTCCAAGTTAGTTGTCCATATATATGTAGGCTTATTTGTAGACTCTGTATTTTGTCTATTGACCTATTTGTCTATCTTTATACCAGTATCACGTGGGTAATTTAGTACTATGGAGTTACTATTTAGTATCTGGAGTTAGTCATAATCTCTGGCCCACATGTCTTTATCACTCATGTACCAAAATGCTAGGTGTGAATGTAGTGTTACAGAAATAATCTTGAATCTGGTATAAAGCAAGTACTCAGTAAATGATAGCTGTTACATTACAACCTAGTAATAGAGTTAATGATTTCTATTAACTTTACAACTTCCTACATATGTTATTACTATATCGTTAGTGATTTTCAGTACCCGGTGAAAGGTAAGGATTTATGTATATGCATATGTGTGTGGTTATATAAGTATGTGAAAAAAAATAGAATTTGAGGTTTTTGTGTATAGAAATTCTCCATGTCCTAAGAGAAAGCATTAAACATCTCAATTAGCAAAACTGTGGAAAAACCATGTAGATTACATGCAATTACAACAACTCCAAAACCAAGAGTATATTATTGGAAGCTTCATAGAGATGTGGGAAAGATCAAAGAAAATAGAAAATATGGATGGGAAAGTCATTATTTTTTTTATTATATTTCAAAGCCATGGCAAGTGCTTTGGGTTGAGTAAGGATGAAGATTAAGGGTGCTAGAACTATAGTTAGGCCTCAAACTGGAATTAGAACTAATTCTAAATCTAAATTAGGCCATCCGAAAAAGGTAGTAAATACAGGTGATCAAATAGGGTGGTTTTGGGCTTTCTATCCAATATATCAATTTTGTTTGGGTCTCCTCTCCCAGTTGCATTTTTGTTAGTAAAAATTATGGAATCTGTCTTTAATATGACTGCTTGTCCTTAGTGACCAGTAACTAGTAACTGAGTTTCCTATGTAGCTGGATATAGTACGTCAAATTGGCACTGATCCTCAGATACAGTTTTGCTCCTTTACTGGTTGGTGGGTTGGAGGCATAATGTACAGAGTGTAATTACCTATCAGGCGTGGGGAACCTTCTGCCAAGGGCCATTTGGATATTTAGCTGGTATTGATTTTGAGGGCCTTATCGGCATGTGGGCCAGACGTTCCCACTACTGCTAAGTTCAAACTGCAGTTTCAGTTAGAAAATTGTGGTTCTTGTTAATTGTTGATTCTTTTCTACAGGTTTGCCCATTTAGCAGCAGTAAAGCTATTAGAGGGGCTACAGAAATATGATATAGATGACGAGAATGAAGTTGATGAAGATGATATGAAATATTTTATAAGACATGGTGTTGAGGGAAGCACTGATGCCAAGGCTGATTTATATCTTAATGAATCAGATAAAACAGATGCCAGAAGTAAGTGTGCCAACTCGGTTGTGATTTATTCTTTAAGAAACGCCATTGCCATTTTTTACCACAAATTTGGAAATTATCCTAAAAGACAGTTATCTACAAAGTAAAATACTTTCATTTTGGGGGGAACCAGAACTAGTATAATTTTTGTACTAGGGGTTGTTGAACATATAAAAAATGTAAGACATGATCTCTTTCCCTCAAGGAGGAAAATGTTATATAAGAGGAAACATTATTTAAGTGGATCATAGGAAACAGGAAGAGACATCTCAAGGATTTCCATGGTTAGTTGGCAAATGATTTTTACAGATAACTATAGCAGCAAGTGTTTACTGACTACTATGTGCCAGATTACTGTTGTAGATATTGGAGAAACGGTGAGCAATACAAAATCCCCGTCCTGTCACCAAGAACTTACATTCTGGTGATTTGCTGACAGATATGTGGTGGTGATATATAATTAATAAGAAAATACATACATAAGGAAAATAAAGTAGGGTAGTGCTATAGATAAGATAACCATTAGAGGAGGCCTCTCTAAGGGGGTGACATTTAAGAAGAGACCTAATGATGAGAGCGGGCCATATGAAGATCTCAGAAGAATATTCCAACCAGCGGGAGGTCATGAGGTAGGATTGAGCTCGGTGTGGCTGGTGTAGAATCACCAAGGAAGTGGTGACAGATTTGGTTGGAGACATAAGTAGGGGCGCAATGAGATCAAATAGGGCTGAATAAGGATTTTATGTTTAGATTTTTTTGGTAGATTTTGAGATGGGGATGGTGTGATCTGATTTATGTTTAAAAATAACAATACTCTGGTTGCTGGGTGGGGAATAGACTGGGAGGTGGGAGAGACCATAGCATTTCAGATGTGTTATGAATAGGTGGGAAGAACACACACTTGCTAATGCAAGGTTAGAGGAAGTTCCTGATATAATTTAAAAATTTCAAGAATACTAAATTAGAATTACACAAGAGCAGATGTAGAATGTCTGCACAGATTTCCTGGGCTCCTAGAGTTCCTGGTATAGGCCTGCAACTACCGGTGATGCTGAAAATCTCCATTGTTGTTTTGCTTCACCACTAAAGGCTTTCACCACCATTCCAGAAGAGCTTACATAAACAGTCTGTTTAGTTCCCTTTAAGGTAATATTTATGTATATCAGGCATTCTTGGTTCTTGACCCAAACTCAGTATCTGCAAGACCATATTTATCTGGAGGATGGTGAGGGAGAAAGCCAAATCAGAATCCAGTTGGTCTTGACTATTTTTGCCTCTGAATTTCCAGTGTTGTGAAAAGCCCATTTCTCTTCACAGGGCAAAAGTAGAAGCAGGGAAATCAGTTAGGGGGCTATGGCCTTAGTCCAGGAGAGAGTTGATAATGGCTTGGACTAGGGTAAGAATGATGGAGATGGTGAGAAATGATCATATTTGGGTGTATTTAGAACATAGAGCCAATAGGATTTGTTGACAGATATGAAAATGAAGTGTTAGAGAATGAGCGTAATCAAGGTTCACTCTTAGATTCTTGGCTTGGGCTATTAGACAGTGAGTTTAAAAGGACTATTCAGCCCTGGCCAGTTTGGCTCAGCGGTTAGAGCGTTGGCCTGCGGTCCGGAGAGACCCGGGTTCGGTCCCCGCTAAGGGCACGTACTTCGGTTGCAGTTTGTCCCCGGCCCTGGTTGGTCGTGCGGGTGGCAGCCACTCGATGTGTCCCTTCACATCGATGTTTCTCACTCTCTCTCCCTCCCACTCTATCTGTACAAAAAATGGAAAAATGTCCTCGGGTGAGGATAAAAACAAACAAACAAACAAAAAAAAATAAAAGGACTATTCACTCAGGACTATAGGGTCGCAGGGAAGGCTATTTAAAAGGGGAATTTGGACTTTTCCTTAAAGGGTAGCTAGGGTTTAGATTGGCAAATAGGTAAGGAAGGCATTCCATTCATCCAACATATATTTGAATATATACTGTGTGCACAGCCCTAGACTAAGGAACTATAGCAGTGCATCAGAAATAGCCCTGCTTTCTGAAATACAGAAAACATTCGGAACCTGCTTAATGTAGTATTAAAAGAAATGACTGAAATTGTGCTTTATCAACTCTTCTTTCTCACACCACTCAGCATATGCTTATTGAGTACTCAGTTATGTGTCAGACACTGTTCTAGGTGCTAGGGTTACATTGATGAACAGACACATCATTTCTCCATATTTGCTTGGTTTCTAAATTGTCTGATTTATTTTTTAAAGCTATAAAAGTCTTGATTATCTGTTCTTATTTCAGTTAAATAAAAATTTATAATTAAATAAAAATGTTTTTGTCTTTCATATAAATTGCATTATGGAGACATATGCCAAAGACTTAATTTTCATAATTACCAATGAATTATGATCTTATTAAATGGTGTCTCAGTGTGCATGGACTGCCATAACAAAATACCATTGACTGGGTGCTTTAAACAACAGAAATTTATTTTCTCACAGTTATAGAGGCTGAAAATCTCAGATCAAAGTCCAATGAGTCTGTTTCTGGTGAGGTCTTTCTTTCTGGCTTGGAGATGATCATCTTTTCTCTTCCTCATGTGGTGGAGAGTGAGCAAACTCTCTGGTGTTGCTTTAAAGGTACTAATCCCATTGGACCATGCCCCACCCTCATGACCTCATCTAACCCTAATTACCTTCCAAAGGCCCCATCTCCAAATACTGTCATATTGAGGGTTAGGGCTTCAACATATCATTTTTGAGGAGATACAAGTACTGAGTCCATAACAAATGCTAAAGCACACCAAATTAGTGAGTCAAGGCGGGATTGTTTCTATCTCTTAAATGGACACATGATTAGGTTGATGTAAATTAATATTCAGGAGCCAGGAGGACTGTGGCTTACTTCAGTGTTATATTTATTATTGAACATACTCGAATGAAATTGAAGTCTAGTAATTGGAGTGGATTTTATTTTATTTTTTATCCTCGCCCGAGGACATTTTTCCATTTTTTTGTTCAGGTAGAGTGGGGGCGGGGCGGAGAGACACACACAGACAGACAGACATCGACATGACAAGGACACATTGAGTGGTTGCCACCCGCACAACCCAACCAGGGCTGGGGACAAACTGCAACTGAGGTATGTGCCCTTAGCGGGAACCGAACCCAGGTCTCTCTGGACCGCAGGCCGACGCTCTAACCACTGAGCAAAACTGGCCAGGGCAGAGTGAATTTTAATTTCTGTAGCATTTCTACTGTGGCACAGTTACTGGCATATAACTCTGCTGCTAGAATTTTTTCCCTTCAAAATCCTAATAATAATTGTTTACACTACTGTAGTGTTTTACAAAGTTTAAAGAACATCTTCATATACATCATTCACGGTATGTCAATGAAGTATGTAATATCTCTGTTTTCTATCTCAAGAAATCCTCATATTTTCATTTGATAGGTAAAGAGCCTGAACTTCGAAAAAGCTAAGTTACTTGCCCAAAGTCACACAGTGACTAGAAGACTTGAGATTTCCCTATATGTTGCCCTTGTCACCACACACACATTGCCTCATGAAAGAGTATTTTCTTGCCACATAACCCTAATTTTAGTTCTCATGATATTTGGTCAGAGAGCCATGATTCATATGAATGGATGAGAAGAACTATTTCAATGGAGCTCTTACATAGAGGAAAGGTGAGAAGGATCTATCTGAACTGAGGCTAAACACAGGCAGCTGTAGTAAAGTGAGTGAGCTTGGGTACTGGATTCAAACATCAGAGCTTCATTAGTTTCTGGAAACTATTTTCAGTTATTCTCACAGGAAGAACTAGTTGTATCAAAACTATATTCTCTAAGGAAAACTTCTAATTTATGTCTGTATTTTTAAAAATAAAATTTTAAGAGCTCCCAGAACATTGTCAGGCAGAACATTACTCTCCAGGGGATAGCGGAAGCCTCTTTTCTGATGAATGCAACCAAGGGCAGACCTAAAGATGCTGATATGAGGGGCTCCCACAATGAGCCACCAAGATCACCTCACAGTGAGGCTCAGAGTGAATGATCCCTTCAGAATTTCCTGACAACTTTATTTTACATAGCTTTATTAAGATATAATTTACATACCATTCAGCTTACCCATGTAAGGTGTACAACTTAATGGTTTTTAGTATATTTATAGATTTGTGCAACCATTGCCACTATATATTTGATAACATTTACATCACCTTCACAACCATAAGTAGTCACTCCCTATTACCTTTGCCTTCTCCCTTCCCCCTAAATCCCATCTCTAGGCTACAACTAATCTACTTCCTGTTTCTATAGAGTTGTCTTTTCTGAGCCTTTAATATGAGTGGAATGATACCATATGTGGTATTTTGTGTCTGGCTTCTTTCACTTAGCACAAGTTTTCAAGGTTCATGCACATTGTAACATGTGCTTTATTCTTTTTATTGCCAAATAATATTCTTGTATGGATATACCCTGTTTTATATATCCATTCATCAGTTGATGGACATTTGAGTTGTTTCTTCATTTTGGCTATTATGAATAATGCTGTTATGAACAGTCATGTATATGTTTTAGTATGGACATATATTTTTATTTCTTTTGGATATATACCTAGGTTTTGGAATTGCTGGATCATTTGGTAACTCTATGTTTAACATTCTAAGGAACTCCCAAATTCTTTTCTAAAGCGACTGTATTTTTTTACATTCCCACCAGTAATGTATGAGGGTTCTAGTTTTTTCACATCCTTTTTCAAAACTTGTTATTGTTTCTCTAATTGATTATAGCTATTTCAGTGAGTGTGAAGTGGTGTCCCATAATTTTGATTGATGTTTCCCTAATGATTAATGATAAGTATCTTTTCATGTACACATTGACCACTTGTATATCTTCTTTGGAGAAATGTATATTTAAATTATTTGCCTATTTTTTAACTGAATTGTTTATCTTTTTATTATTGAGTTGTAAGAGTACTTCCAGCTATAAGTCCCTTATAAGATAGAGTAGAGGCAAAAGTAGGTTTACAGTTGTGAGTATGCAAAACAGTTTATTCTAGTGTTATTATTTATTAATTAGTGTATTATTTTCTATACGGACAACTGTAAACCTGCTTTTGCCCCACTTTGTACATGACTTGCATATATTTTCTCCTATTCTGTGGTTGTCATTAAACTTTCTTGATGATATCCTTTGCAGTGTAAAAGTTTTTAATTTTGATGAGTTCCAATTTACCTATTTCTAATTTTGTTGTTTGTGCTTATACTTCTTTTTGGTGGTTGCATTCAGAATTAGCAAGGACTTAGAACTGTAGAAACGAGCAGTTGATCTGTGGAATTTCAGTTTCTTCTGAAATTATTTTAGTAAGAGACATGAGTGAGAGGATTGTTGTCAGTGAATCATAAAATTTTAAAAAGATATTTTAGGAAAGACCAAGAACGTGGCCAGAACAGTTTCCTACTGTGGTGCGTTTGTTACAAATGTGCTCTTACACTTTGCCATACAGTACGGCTTGCTGGTGCCCCGCTGGGGTGCTTGCAGCTAGTGAAGGTACTATATAGGAGGTCATGTGCTGTTTTCTGGTCCCTATTTAGTTTTATTCCAGGGTGAAACTCAAAAAGAACTAGACGACCTCTTCCTCTAGGACACTAGGTTTTGCCAGAGCACCTACACAGGACTGGTTGGATTTCTTGTCATCCCAGACTTGCTGAAATTGAGCCTCAATTTAGACCATTGTTTAGTGAATTATGTTTAGGACCATGGTATCAGAATATCCTGTAACTATTTGAGGTTTGACTTCTGGCTCAACATTCCTGTCACATGTTATCCAGCAACCACTCAGTCACTTTCAGTGATAAGGCACTCACTATTGCCCAGGGGGCCCATTTCCATCCTTTGACAGGTTTCTTGTGAGGATTAAAATGTATAAGGTACTGCCCTGGCCAGTGTAGCTCAGTTTGTTGGGTGTTGTTCAGGACACTGAAGGGTTGCTGGTTTATTCTGGTCAGGGTACATGCCGGGGTTTCTGGCTCAATCCTCAATAGGGTACGTGTAGGAGGAGGCAGCCAGTTGATGTTTGGATCTCATGGATGTTTTTTTCTTTCTCCCTAAAAATCAAGAAAAATATGTATTTTTTAAAATCCTCACTCGAGGATACTTTTCCATTTTTTTTTTTTTTTTTAAGCTAGGGTGAGAGGGAGGACGGGGAGAGAGAAAAATATCAGTGTGAGAGAAAAACATCGATTGATTGCTTCCCACATGACCTGGACCAGGGCCAGGGTTCAAACCCGAAACCGAGATATGTGCCCTTGACCAGGAATTGAATCCATGACTCTTTGGTCGGACACTCTAACTAATCACTGAGCCAAACTGGCCAGGGCAAGAAAAATATTTTTTAAAATGTATAAAGGTACTTAGTTGTAATATTTGCATATCATAGGCACTCCACAATACATGATAGCTCTTACTGTTTTTGTTGAAAAGTTTCTCCTTTGTTGAGTTAAAATCTCTCTTATTGGAGCTTATCCCAATTAATTCTTGTTCTTACCTCTGATGACCCCATTGAACTTTTTTTTTCAAAGCATAGCCTTCAAATATTAAAGAATTATTATATAAACTAAATAGCTACAGTTCTTTTTGTATTTTCTTATGTAACATTTAAAAAATCCCCTCTACTTTGCTAGTGGTTACAGTGGTTCCCAAATCTGTCTGCCCATCAGAATTGTCTGAGGAGCTTTTACTAAGTACCAGTACCAGAATGTGTCTGGTGTTGGGCTCAAATATATACCTTTAAAAAAGACATCCAGTTGATTCTGATGTATGCACTTTGAAACCTGTATGCACTTTGAAACCTGTAGCTCTAATCTATTAAGAGATAAGTCAGAGTGGTGAGTGTTAGCAAGTAGAGGTGCTGATTTACTGACCTGGTTCTGTAAAGCAGGGTTTCTCAACTTCTGCATTATTGCCATTTTGGGCCAGATACTTATTTGTTGAGGGGTGGGGGTCAGTCCAGTATATTTTAATATGTTTAGTAGTCCTAAGCCTGTAGATGCCAATAGCCTGCTCCCTTTTATCCATCAAGTTCAAAAGGAACAATGTATACAGATAATGTCAAATGTCCCTTGGGGGAGAAAGTCACCCCAGTTTGAGAAGCACTACCACAAAGGACAAAAAATTAATAGGTTTGATAGTTGGAGAGTAGCTAAAAGCAGCTCTCAACACATTTCCTTCTCCCAGTATACTCTTGCATAGATATTACAAGAAATAAAAAAATTGGGGGATGGGTTAATTCTTGTTTGTTTTAAATAAATCCAGCATATTTCAATTTTTCTAATTTTTTGACATACTATAGATTATGCATGTACTGTAATATACCATTAGCCCTAAAATACTGCTAGTCTTTATTATTATTATTTTTTTATTCTCACCCGAGGACATTTTTCCATTTTAGTTCAGTTAGAGTGTGAGGGAGAGAGACGGAGAGAGAGAGGGAGGGAGGGAGGGAGGGAGGGAGGGAGAGAGAGAGACAGAGAGAGAGAGAGAGAGAGAGAGAGAGAGAGAGAGACAGAGAGAACCATCGACATGAAAGGGACACATCGAGTGGCTGCCTCCTGCACGACCCCAACCAGGGCTGGGGACAAACCACAACCAAGGTACATGCCCTTGACTGGAATCGAACCCACGACTTAATTGTTCTAACCCCTGAGCCAGACCGGCCAGGGCTACTGCTAGTCTTTAAACCTTGTTCATAATATTAAAAGTCATAACAGTCTGATACATCCTCCAAGAGCAGGAAAAGAATCCTCCAAATACTCTGTTACTGATATTTATCCTTCTGTGTATATGCCACCTCCCTCTACCCCCTTTCCCAAACCACACAGACACTTGCTTTAGAGGAAGAATAGACTCCAGGATGAGCATCATGTGAGCTCCTGTTTGAACGTTTCTATTCAACTTTGTGTTTCAGTGAGAGCTTATAAGAAAATTGTAGAATTGAGACACCTCCTGGAAATTGCTGAGAGCAACTATAAACACTTGGGAGGGATAACAGAAGAAGATCTAAAGCAGAAGAAAGAACGGCTAGAGTCTGAAAAGTAATGTCCTCCAAACTTTAATGGTTTGTTTTTAGTTCTCTCTCTAAATGCCATGTGAGGATTTATTGACCAACAACTTGTTTTGTTTTTTGTTTTTTAATCCCAATCAAAGGGTGTAAGATTCTATCGTTTTCTTTCCAAGTCCCCAGATGGACAAGGTGTTAAGATTTTTTTTATTGTGGTAAAATACACATAAAATGTATCATCTTACCTATTTTTAAGTACAATTCCGTAGTGTTAAATACATTCACATAGTTTGCATAATCAGTCTCCAGAACTATTTTCATCTTGCAAAATTGAAACTCTATGGAGTTAAGATTTTTTTTTTGAGACACAGCTACTTTGAGGTTTTTAACTAATGAAGTCTCTAATCATCCCTATCAAATTGGACTGCTTACTCATGCATCTTGGGCCCAGTGCTGTGTTCACTGACCGTGAGCCATTGTACCCTCTACTTCTGTACCTGAATTGGCTGTCTGCACATTTGGCTCCTCCCTAATTAGTTAATGACTGCTGGAATAGGCTGCCTCATGCTAATTTCCTCCCACTGCCTCTTTGCTTTTCTGTCTGCTTTTGAGAGTGGACTGGGAACAAAGGGAGACAGGAGAGGAGACTTTCCATGTAATCAAAACTTGGGTCTGTAAAGAGCAGTACACATGGATCTTCCTCTTTCCTGCCCTCTCCTTTCTTTTTTGATTTGTCTTAAATACAGTGCATGGATGCTTTTCACTATTACCAAAAATAATATTTCGTTCATATTGGAGATTGGTTGAAAACAAAATCTGTTTTTGACAGGACTATCCAAGAGCTGCAGGGCCAGCTGGAGTATGAACGACTACGTAGAGAAAAATTAGAATGTCAGCTGGATGAATATCGAGCAGAGGTGGATCAACTTAGAGAGACCCTGGAAAATATTCAGGTCCCCAACGTTACGGCAGTGGTTAGTGTCCTTCTTAACACATTTATCTTTCTCAGGAAGTAGTATACAACAGTAACTGAGAGTTCAAGCTTTGGACTGGGGTTGTTTGGATTTGAATCCTGGCTACAACCTTTTTTTTAGTTTGAACAAGTCATTTAATGTCTCTACGCCTTAGTTGTACACTGGAGATAGTACTGTAATTTATACTTTCTAGAGTGTTGTAAGGATTAAAGGAATATTTCTCTATATATGTATTCCTTTATATATACACATACATATATGTATATATCCACATATGTGTTGGTTAGAACAGCAGCCTGGTCTATAAATGTGCAGTGTTATGGTTCTTATTATTATACCATATAAGGATAAATATTTACAGAGTAATCAATAAGAATTCTAAGGCAGTTAGAATTTTCTATTTCAACATTCTAAATAGTCAAAATAAAGTGCCTTGAAGGGATCCATATAAGAAATCATCAGCTTCTTAAAAGACCAGTATTAAGAATGGGAAAGAGCCAGCATGGCAGTTGTCATAGTAACCCTTTGTTCAGATTACAGAATAATAAAAAAGTAACATTTGTAACACTTTACAAAGTTCTTTTACATGTTATCACGTCATTTGATCTACCCTTATATAACATCTAAGGAAACCGAGGCTCAGAGAGGTGAGTTGTCTAAATTCACACAACTAGTTATGATGGGATCAGTATTCAGTCTCTAACTTTTGATTCCATAGCCTTAGCTCTTTTCATAATTCCCAGTCAGAATTATGCATTTGGAATTCAGAATATAGCTACAGAATATAGAAGAGTGCTTAGAGTGATAAGTGAAAAGAACACATATTTAGAAGGAAGCTAAAATGATACTAATGTGGAAGCAGATACAAAGAACAAATACAGAAGAGCAGGTGGAGTATTTCTGTGACAGTGACAGCAAGAAACCCCAATGGTGCTTGTATTTCAGGCCATCTAGTCTCTGAGTAGAACAGGCAGAACGTACACTGGGGAAACTTTGACTCCTGCTCTCTTCTGTGAGTGAAGAGCCATGAAGTGGTCCTTGTGGACTGCTCATGTGACATAGTGTAGGGGTTCAGGGACATTTCACATTTTCTTTCCATAGGAACATTTTTTTCTTCAGTCATCAAGGCTGAGTTAGTTCTGTTCCAGACCAGAATCACCAAAATCTGATTTATAACGCAAATTTCCTGACACTTTAAATTTTATTTTTCACAAACTATCATTAATCTCTTTAATAACTACTTTAAAATAACAAAATAATATATGTGCTTCTTGTAAATTATTAAAAACAGGGCAGACATTTCTCTTCATACTGAGTTCCACTCTCCAGAGGAAGCTACTGTTAATGATTTGGCATGTCTCATATCAGATGATATTCTATTAATCTAGAAACACATATGAATATTTCAATGCATATACAAATTCAAACACTTTTCTGGGTTTTGGTATCTCACCAGTGCTTGATTTTCCATGGGATATAATTAATTATAAATAATTATTGTCTTCATTTTCAGAATGTTCATCTTGTACCACCCTTAGCCCCTGGGGATACATTAGTATAGAGGGACCAGCCCGTGCAGCCTGTTCTTTCCCTGGAGGACAAGAGGACACACACTTTTCTTGAACTACCACTTTTACTCCAAATATGTTCCCTCTCCACCTGCTGGCAGGAACTCTGCTGGCTTCCACAGTCTCCTCAAAGGGAGGAACTTATGTCATTCTTGTTCAGCTACCTTTTGAGTCGCTCCAAAATGATTGTCTACTTAGAACATTTTCATTTTTTAGGTATTTAAAAATATTCTCTTCTTGCCCAGAAGCATTTGTTCTCCGGGCAGGGTTTGATTTCATACCCTACAGCATAGCCTCCAAAACCTCGCTCTCTGTGAACAACGTGGAGGCTTTCAGGAGAGCTGACTCAAGGCCCCTATACTCTGGGCTCATCGTGTTTTGCAGTCCTACTCTAGGTTATCCAATTTCTCTCTCTCTCTCTCATGCCCACACCTTGACTCCTTTGCGTGTGCATTCGCTCTCTCTCCTAAGCTCCAAGGGCACTTCTTTTGCCTCTCTCTCTCTTTTTTTTAAAGATATGAATCATATCTTTTTTTCTTTTTGAAGAGAGAGAGAGAGAGAGAGACAGAGGTAAAGAAACATCGAAACATTGATTTGTTGTTCCTCTCATTTATGCATTCATTGCTTGATTTTTCTATGTGCCCTGACTGGAGATCAAACCCACAACCTTGGCATATCAGGACGATGCTCTAACCAACTGGGCTATTTGGCCAGGGCAGTAACCTGTTTCCTGAGCCCACACAGCCCAGCTGGCTCACTTTTTCTACTTCTGTGACTTTCTAAATGAACTTTTGCTTGTATTTGAAAACAAAAAAGGCTATCCAATTTTTGTAAATGAGCAAACATCACTGGCATGTAATGGCAGCTGCAACCCCGATACTGCTTATTTTCTTCTTCAAAAGCTTCTGAGTCTCACCCTGGCCGGTTTGGCTCAGCAGTTAGAGTGTCGGCCACGGTCCAGAGAGACCTGGGTTCGGTTCCCGCTAAGGGCACGTACCTTGGTTGCAGTTTGTCCCTGGCCCTGGTTGGTTCATGCAGGAGGCTGCCACTCGATGTGTCCCTTTCACGTTGATGTTTCTCTCTCTCCCTCCCACTCTATCTGAACAAAAAATGGGAAAATGTTCTCAGGATTAAAAAACAAACAAAAAAAAGCTTCTGGGTCTCGATTTCCCCATCTGTAAAATGAGGATAACATCCATCTCATGGCATTGTGTTGATGTTAAAGGAAATACTGTATTATAGTCTCCCCTCCTCGTAGCCTTTTCTCCTTTTTCCTTCCTTTCTTTCCATTTTTTGTGTTCAAGTTGAATAAACAAAGTCTGTGGATAAATAAAATGTGTAGAGCCGTATGCATTTAAAAGTAGTTTATTTTTGGGGTCTAAATAAATAAACTATAAATAAAATGAACTGTTCATGCAGTGCCCATTTATACTGATTCCTCAAGAAGCTCTGACTAAATCTTCTGCCACCTTCTGGTCAGGCCTGTGACTGACTGCAACTGTACCTTTAAAACTTTTTCACATGTGATAGAATTTGCGATAGTATAATTTTATACAGAAAAATTTTTTTAGGATAGTTTCTTAGTAATAGTTTGACCCATATTATGCTCTTTGATAACAACACCAGTAATAACTGGTTTTGATAATGATTATTTTTATAGTGCTTTGCTCACATACTGTCTTATCTTAGCCCACATTAAACCTCACCAGCCTTATTTTTTTCTCTTCTCCTACATGTAGCCTTTATTTCCTGAACTTGCCCCACCACCAGGCCTTTGTTCATTTTGTCCATGCCTTCCAGGCTATCAACTCGGCCTCCCAGAATCCTCTAAGAACCATCTCATTTATCAACCCTGAATTAATCCCCTTGACCACACACGATTTCTCCTTTTACCAAACACTTTGTACAGTTCTAATGACACCTCATCATTTGTATTTTATGTTAGTTGGGTACTTATTTTAGACATAGTACTGACATTTAAGTTCCATGATGCCGTCTAACTTACCTTAATAACATCTGCATCATCAACAAGAAGTTACTGAATACTTTGTTATGTGTTAGCCTCAGTGCCAAGAACTTCATATCTGGTAGATCTCCAAAACCAGCATCATTCAGGAAGTCATTGGTCCAGTGCTCTGGTCCATGTTTGCTAATCAAGAATGGTCAACCTGCCCTGGCCGGTATGGCTCAGTTGGGTGAAGCATTGTCCCATACACCAACAAGTTGTGGGTCATACCAAGGTTACAGGTTCGATCCCCAGTAGGGGGCGTGCTGGCGGCAGCTGATCAATGTTTCTTTCTCACATAGATGTTTCTATCTCTCCCTTCCCCTCTCTCTTAAAAAAAAAAAAAAAAATTAAGAATTTATTTATACAAAACTCTGAAAGAGCTTTAATCCAGAGTTGAAAATATTAGTATCATTAATTTTTTTTCTTTTGGGACAGATAATGTAGAAAGATGAAATGTGTCTAGGATAGAAATCTTATTTGGTTCTCTTTTTCTGCATTTGTAGGAAGATGACTCTTCTTGTGAGTCAAGCAAAGAGAAGAGGCGAGTAAAGAAAAAAGTGTCTTCTGGGGGAGTTTTTGTGAGAAGGTACTAATCAATGAAATAACTTTAAATAAACTTGCTTGATTTTTTTCTTTTATTTTAAAAAGTGACATGTTAATCTGGGTGAACTCTTCTAAAATTACTCTGATATACTATTACTCTAATTCTAAAGGCAGAAATATGGTACATAATATCAAAAGACTTGTTAAATTACATGGACTCAGTTGTACTCCCCTCCCAATATAATCTTTTTATATTTATGTAGACAAGTAAAGACTCTAGATTTATGAGTAATTCATTTAGCAAATATTCACATAAACTTTAAAATATATGGTACAGTCTAATATTTGAATGAAATTCAGTTCTAGATGTTAAAACTTATTCTAGTTGTTAAAAATTTGCCCTGGCTGGTGTGGCTTAGGGGTTAGGGTGTTGGCCTGCACATTGAAGGGTCTCAGGTTCTATTCCTGGTCAGGGCATGTACCTGGGTTGCAGGTTCGATCCCTGGCCCCAGTTGGGGCATGTTTGGGAGGCAACCAATTGATATATCTTTCTCACATCGATGTTTCTCTCTCTCTCTCTCTCTACCTCTTTCCCTTCAACTCTTTCTAAAAGAAATATATATATATATATGTATACACACACACGTGTGTGTGTGTATAATCAATGGAAAAAATATCCTTGAGGATTAACAAAAAAATTATCAAAAATTCTATTATAGCTTCATAATATAATTGTAATATTACTTTTACTTTCTAGAGAGTACCATTTCCTACTTCTAGGATAGATTTTTTTTTTTTTTTAATGTTTTAACTTTTCAAGTGACTTGACTTTTATTTATTTATTTTTTCATCCTCACCCGAGGACATTTTTCCATTTTTTGTTCAGATAGAGTGGGAGGGAGAGAGAGGAAGAGAGAGACATTGATGTGAAAGGGACACATTGAGTGACTGCCACCCCCACAACCAACCAGGGTCAGGGACAAACTGCAACCGAGGCACGCGCCCTTAGCGGGAACCGAACCCGGGTCTCTCTGGACCGCAGGCCGATGCTCTAACCGCTGAGCCAAACCGGCCAGGGCTCCAGTGGTGCGTGCTAAGGGTGCATGTCTCGGTTGCAGTTTGTCCCCGGCCCTGGTTGGGAGGCAGCCACTTGATGTGTCCCTTTCACGTCAATGTTTCTCTCTCTCTCTCTCTCTCTCCCAACTCTATCTCAACAAAAAATGGAAAAATGTCCTCGGATGAGGATGAGAAAAAAAAAAAAAAAGCATCTGGACTTGGGGAGAAAATGCAACCTAAGACCAGTCATTTTGGAAAAGGACAACTTGACAATAACCAAATATCTCAGGAAAGTTTTATAAAAAATGAAGATCAGCACTTATAAAAGGAAAAAGAAGAACATATGTGTGCTTACTAAGGATACCCATTTAAATAACCTGCTTTAAGATTCAACCCATTGTTCTGTCTTGCAAGTTCTATAAGAAAGGAATATAATGCCAAGACAAATTGGACAGAATAAGACACATGGTTTTATTATTATTTTTTTTCTTTTTTCCCCTTGATTTTGCTGACCAAGAAAACAACTATGGCAGGTCTGACTTCATTTTCCTCACTTTTCCTATTCAACCCCACTCCTCCTTGACCTGGTGAAGATTTATCACTCTCGTGGGGCAATTGTCTACATCCTGCCTCCCCTTGAACATCTGGTTGCTAGATTTTGGGCTTCACTGGCAGCAGCTTTTTGCCATACATCAGACTCTCCACCCTCCAGGTCCTGGCATGTACCTTGCATGAACACTAATGGCTATTGGGACCCAGTATCATTAGGACCAGTTTGCCCTGACATGAGTGCATGTGATTCCTAAGACCAGTACAGAGCTGGTCAAGGGTCTATAAGCAAGTATTACAACCCTTCTGATAACCAGTATAGTCATTACTGTTAGTTTTCCTGTGGTTTCCAATTGTCTTTCTCAGTCTGTAGTAATAATACTTGTCAACATTGGCCCTGGCCAGTTTGGCTCAGCGGTTAGAGCGATGGCCTGCAGTCCAGAGAGACCTGGGTTTGGTTCCTGCTAAGGGCATGTACCTCGGTTGCTGTTTGTCCTCAGCCCTGGTCGGTTGTGCGGTTGGCAGCCACTCGATGTGTTCCTTTCACATCGATGTTTCTCTCTCTCTGTTCCTCTCTCTCCCTCCCACTCTACCTGAACAAAAAATGGAAAAATGTCCTCAGGTGAGGATAAAAAAAAAAAATAGTTGTCAACATTGGGTACTTACTATGTGACAGATCTGTGCCAAGTCCTTTACAGATATTCTCTCGATTCTCACAATAGCTGTGTATGATAGATATATTTTATACATGGAGGTTAAATAATTTTCCCAGAATCAGACAGCAATATGGGGCCAAGATTCTAAATCTTAGCAGGGAAAATTCAGAGTCTGCATTCTTAACCCCTACTGTAATTCCCAAATCCAACTTTTCTCTCACTATCTGGGACACACAGCCTTATTTTTTCCTTCTAGTCTGGTGACCTTAAAGTTAAACTCAATCCTGGAAATAGTCTGTTATACTTGCTCCAGTTTTCTCAAGGCTTTGTCTCTAGTCTCTCTCTCTGTATAAGTGAGGTAGGAAATAGAAGAACAGCGTTGTATTAGAAATATGCACCCTTGTGGCAGAGGTCCCCTGGATGTCCCCCTATATCTATCCCCCCCTTTTTAAAAAATAATATTAGGACTTAACCTGATCTTGTGGCTGCTCAGGATAAGGTCTTACTTTCCAGCCTCTTTTGCATCCAAGATGTGGCCAATAGATTGTGAGCAAAAATGGTGTGTATAACTTTAGGGTCATGCCTCGGAAAGGGTTTGCCCACTTCTTGTCCATTTCTTCTTCTGGAATGTGGATGTGGTGGTGAGTCATTAGACCTTGTGAATGAGGGCAATGCAGGGATGTTAGAGGAATATGGTAAGTAGGAGCCTGGCCCCTGATACATGCAGCTGACATACTAGTCCTGGACTGCCTACACTTGGATTGTAGGTAAGACAGAGATAAACCTCTATATTATTTAAGCCACTATTATTTGGGGTTTATTATAGTAGCTAAATCTAAATTGTAATACAACCCCCAAATTATATATATTTTATTATAATCACAAAAATATATTATCATCTTATGTATGGTGTTTTCCAATCAATCATCTGATTTTTTTGGACACCAACTGGGTGTTCAACAATTCAACTCAGAAATCAGCTACCCAGAGTTACCATCAGATTCTACAAGTTAAGGGCTTAGTCTCACAAAACTGCTCTCACTTCAGACACCATTTGCAAGTCCCAGGTTATCATGGATATTTCTAATTGCTGTTCATCTGGGGGTTCCATATCACCCTCTTCAGGTTCAGTAATTTGCTAAAATGACTCACAGAACTCAGGAAAACACTTTACTTACTATTACCACTTTATTAAAAAGGATACGTCTCAGGAACAGCCAAATGGGAGATGCACAGGGCAAGGTATGGGGTGAAAGGTGCGTAGTTTCCATGCCCTCTCTGGGTGTTTCACCCTCCCAGCACCGTGATGTGTTCACTGGGTTGTGATTTAATTCAGTGTCCAGCTCCTCTCTTCCTTTTCCCTCCCTGAAGGCCGAGGTAGGGGGTAGGAGAGACTAAAAGTTCAACTCTCTAATCATGCCTTGGTCTTTCTGGCAAACCAGTCCCCACTCTGAAGCTATGTAGTGGCTCCTAGCTACCAGTCATCTCAGCATAAAAAGACACTCTATCACTCTGGAGATACCAAGGATTTTAGGAGCTGTGTGCCAGGAAAACTAAAGCTCCTTTTCTAAACCTCTATCACTCAGGAAATAATAAGGGTTTTATGAGCTCTGTGTCAGGAACTGAGGACAAAAACCAAATATATATATATATATATATATACACACACACATATATAATGCCACGTTATAGTAAAAAAGTAAAAATATATACTATAAAGTAAAAAAGATGTTACAAAGAGATATAGACAAATTTTTTCCCCCATGCCTCAGTAGATTGTCCATCTCTTGAAATAGAAGACTGTACGTGGAGATTACTAGAGTATTGAGTAAGAACTTGAGATTTGGAATTTAAGTCTGTGTCACTTATGTGCTTTGTGACCTTGGCAAGTTACTTAACTTTGCTTAGTTTGTTTCTTTAGCTGTAAAATGAGGATAATATTACCTGCCTAAGAGGATTAATGTGAAAAACAGGTGAGTTGATACATATTTTCTCTTAGCATACTCACTGTTGTAGTCACTATTCTACAAAATGACAATCACCAATTTCAGTGTTGGTGACCCACAGCCTTTTCCACTGCCGCATTTTTTCTTTACATTACAAAGTATTTAAAACTTTTGAATATTTAAAACTTTAAAATTTAAGATGTTATATATCTAAATTCTTAGAGATGGATAAAAATAGACAGTATAAGCTTTAAATTATCTTTTTCTTTATCCTCACCTGAGGACACTTTTTCATTCTTTGTTCAGATAGAGCAGGAGGGAGAGAGAGAAACATCGATGTGAAAGGGACACATCGAGTGGCTGCCATCCGCACGACCAACCAGGGCCGGGGACAAACTGCAACCGAGGTACATGCCCTTAGCGGGAACCGAACCCGGGTCTCTCCGGACCGCAGGCTGACGCTCTAACCGCTGAGCCAAACCGGCCAGGGCTAAATTGTCTTTCAAATATGATGAAGATATACTGCCACCAAATAGTATGAATGGGCAAGTCAGGATCTAGTCTATGGCCATAAACAAGGTGAAGGTAACTAATCCTCTTGGAGACTTACATGTACAGAAAATGCCAAAAAGTTTGTGTTCTCAGAAACTGTAAGTGAAACGTTCTCACCACACCCATAATAAAATATTTAAAGTATTAAAAAGTTTGGATTAAGATTGAGATCTATGCATATTATTTATTCCACAGGCATTTAAGAAGTACCTCATATATGCTTAGAGGCCTTCTGGGAATTCAGTTTAGTATAAGAAACAGACGTATACAACAATAGCTATTTTATAGTTGGTGCAAGTGCTAGAATAGAGGTGTAGTTTTGAGGTACATGGGAACACAATCTTCTTATTTTTCATTTCAGCTATTTCCGTTCCCTAAACAAAAACCTATCTAAACTTCAAAACTAAAACCAAAATGAAGTGTCCATGGAAAAATATAGGATCTAGAAGTAATGGGGATTTGGGATGGTGTATATACTTCTATTCCATTATTGGCTGCAAAACACTTCACTTGCTAAATCCCTAAAGATGGAACAGATCTATTTTACCATTAATGGCTATGAACTGAGAATATGCATCTTTATTTGTTGAGGTTTGAGGAGCTCCAATAAATGGCATCCTCTCCTTTGCATCTGGGTTGTGAACCTAATTGAGATGAAAAACAAATTGAATTGATATAGAGTCCTAAAGAGTACCTTTATTTACTAATAAAACTGATATTGGAGAATATGGTTTAGATCTTCACTAAGTTTCCTATCACTGAACCCCAGAATTGGACAAACTTATTCACCCTGCTTCAAGCATCATTGTACTGGGTGTGTGTGTGTTGTGGGTGGGTGGGTGGGTGGTGTGTGTGTGTGTGTATCTGTGTGTGTGTAGGCTTTACCCTGCAGAGGAGACTGAGCCTGATCCCACAGGAGCAGAACAGAATGAATACTCTCTGTAGACAGGCTGGTCCCAAACAAGAGTGGGGAGGAAGTGGCAACAATACAGTGCAACAACTTCAAGTCTCTATTTCCTGGTGGTTTACCGGTCACTTAGTACGATTTGATATCTAGAGCTTACCAACTAAATTATTTTCAAAGTGCACTTAGGCCCTGTTTTTCTTTTCACTTCATTTCACCTGGGGCAGGGCAGATGAGGGGAGGAAGAGTGATGACAATGTTATACTACTGAAGTTTCTTTCACGTGGAGGGAAGTATGCCCTCTCACTATTTTATTATAAATTGTAAGAAACCAGTAATTATTTACTCGCTTACTGTCTGTCTATTTACTCGCTTACTGTCCGTCTTCTCCACTAAGGCTGTCTGTTCCATGAGAATGAAACTGTGTTCATCTTTGTGCACAGTTGTCTGGCACTTAGCAGGCATTCTCACTTATTCAGTGAGTGAATGCACTGTAGTTTGTTACAATGGAACTTTTTAGTCCTTATTTATTAATCTAATAAAATTTTATCTATGGTGTGCCAAGAATTTTCTTAGGCAAGAGAATTCTGAAATGGAAATGAATAAGAACATTAACAGAATATTAAAATAGAGTTTTGTTTTGGAAACAACCCAGCAGTTAGATCTTTGAAGAAAATTTAATTGGAAAGCCTCTGATTCTCACTTACTGGACAATAAGGGCTAGTCTTCAACTGCTCTATTCTTCACATTCCTTCTTTAAAACTAAACAAATGATGGGGTTACTTATAATATAATGAATAAATAATGGATAATCAAACTTTTTTTTTTATCCTCACCCAAGGACATTTTTGCATTTATGTTCAGATAAGAGTGGGAGGGAGAGAGGGCGGAAGAGAAAGAGAGAGAGAAACATGGATGTGAGAGAGAGACATTGACTGGTTGCCACCCACACAACCCCAACCAGGGCTGGGGATAAACTGCAACCAAGGTACGTGCCCTTAGCAGGAACTGAACCCGGGACTCTCTGGTCCGCAGGCCGACGCTCTAAACGCTGAGCCAAACAGGCCAGGGATGGATTATCAAACTTTTAAAGCTATTGCCAAGGCATTATGAAATCTTCAGCACTTTCTAGCCGTGGCTTTTTAATCTGGTTAAAACTGAAGGTCTGAGTTGAAAATATTTTGTACTTTCCTTGAAATTACATGTATTCTATTAATAGATACTGTTATATAAGGAAAAATATATAGTAGACCCAATAGCAAGAAAACAAAAGTATGAGTTTCTTGAGAGTAGGGACTATATATTAATAAATGTTTGCTGAATTTAAGTGCCATAAGATAAAGCTTTGTTTTATGCAATAAATTTGAAGCAGGACAAATGAGTTTTTGTGAATACAAATCTAAAAATATATATGTAATAGCCCTGGCCGGTTTGGCTCAGCAGTAGAGTGTTGGCCCACAGACCAGAGTCACAGGTTTGATTCTGGTCGAGGGCACATACCTTAGTTGCAGTTCGTCCCAGCCCTGGTCGGGGTTGTGAGGGAGGCAACTAGTCAATGTGTCCTTCTCACATCAATGTTTCTCTCTCTCTCACTCTATCAGAAGATAAATAGAAAAATATCCTTGGGTGAGGATTATAAAAATATGTGTGTGTGTGTGTAATAATCAGGGCTCAAGATTTAGCAATTCTACAGATTTCATATTAAATGTCATACACTGACACTAGAGCACACATTGTAAAATTTTAAATTTATTGTTTTTAGTTGTTCATTACAAAAAAAAACAAATAATCTACAGCTATATGGTAAGTCACTTTAAAAATCCAAACAACTTTCTTAATATATCTTATTTTATATGAAAAGGTAATTGTGCAATAGTTGTCAAGAAAGTTGAATAACAAAATATGTAGGCAGCAGATACCAAAGAAATCTATATGATTTACACAACTGGTCAAGCAAACACAAGAAAACTCTGGTTTAGTTTCTATGGACTATCAAAAGGATAATGACAAAAGGTCCTTCTGTCTCAAATTAATCAGGTTTTCAATGGCAGCTTTTCAACATAATAAAATAAAGACATAAAAAACAAAGACAATAGACATCTTATTCTAAAACAGTTCTTTTTAGTCTATATGTACTTTGAATAACCTTGTATTAAGTTTTGCTGCAACTTTCAAGGTTCCAAGTACATCTACCCTGGTGCAGTGTTTTAAGAAGTCAATAGAAGCAGCAGCAGGAGCATAATATAGTCGTTTCACTGCTACTTCCAGATTCTGTAAAATCCCAATGCTATGGCCAGGCAAGTAAACACTGAGGCTGTGAACAGAAGAAACCATGTTAACAGGCCATGCATTTGTGATTATTTTGCAGAGAGAAACAGAATAATGTCACCTTCAATTTAAATGAAGAACACAAAACAAGGGAAATCCAATCAATTTTCTATCTTAGGTTTTCATTCCCTAGAAAACTAAGCTAAAGATAAAGGATATCCTTTAGGGCAGAATTGATAACAATTCTTACATCTTAAACCCAATAAGGATGACAATAATTTAAAAATGTAGGTCATCTGTCAGAGTCTTTAAACTGTTTAAAGTCATTATTAACATTAGTATTATTAACAGTGACTAAACAATTATGAACTCTAATTTCAATCTTGTAAGTGCAAAACTATTTCACTTATACTTAAAAATTACGCAGCTAATAATACTGACATATCATCCATGAGAAGAAAATTTTGCCTTTTCATACATTTAAAAATAATTTTTCTCATAACCATTAAAATTTATATTAAAAATATATAAATAAAAAGTTAAATTGTAATGAAATCCTTTAAAAAAAAGAAGAAAAGGCACAAGAAGCATCAGACTTCTTAAACAGTTAATATACCACCTGTCCTTTGTTACATCATTCTGAACCTTCCTGTTTTCCTTACGAAGCTGAATCTGGGCGAGGCTTTTAGGGACTCCCTGATTTCTAGTTTGTTTAAACAGTCATGACTCTTTTTTTTTTGGTCCATGCACAAAGATATTACATCATTATTTACATAGAGAAAAATTAGAGATAATCTAACTATATTATAATAGAAGAAATCTATAATACTGGATGGCCTATTGTACAGCCATTAAAAATGACAATGTACCCACAGAATAAAAGACTAAATAAAATATGTCAGTAATGATTACTTCTAATTGGGGGGATTATGGATGATTTAAATTTTCTTATAATATTTAAATAGCTCTATTAAAATAAAGAATCTGAGATGAAGGGCAACCTTCTTTGACTAAAGACACACGAAACAGACTTTCATAGTAAAGCTATCCTAATTTTAATATGTAAATTTTATTATACATTATCCCATCTGATCCCACTACTTACTGAAAATTGATTAATGACTGATCATTTCCTTAAAACAAAAAAAAGGGACGAGGTCTAAGACACATAGGGAATGAGGACATTTAAGGAGAAAAGTTTAATGCTAAGAGTTTTGTCTTGGTCAATTATACATTCTCCCACTTTGATCATGCTACTATTTACCATGCTCCAGGCATATGCTGAGCAATTACATACATTATCTTATTTAACCCTATTTAAAACCCTATGAGGTTGGTGTTATCATCCCCATTGTGCAGACAAGCCCAAAGCTGTATTGCTACAAGTGATGGAACCAGGACTCAACATTACCTGTCCCTGACTTCAAAGTTGTTTTGTTTTTAAAGAAAATCATTCTATTATCCTATTTATCGCATGTCACCTGAAGGACTCAATCTTAATTTGTCATATTTTGGACCACATAGTGCTATTTAGGTGGTATATTTTTTGCTAACCCAAATAGCTGATAAGTTGTCTTAGACTACTAATGAGCACTTTATTGTGAGGAAGGAAAATCTAACACAGTGGGAACTGTATTTAAGTTTCTCACTTCTGTTGTCAACTGTTACTTCTCATTGTTACACTATGCCAACCCCAAATTCTTTCAAATTTGTTTATCTTCTATGGCCTAAGACACTTCCTTTGGATATGTAAAATGTCCGGATGAGCATGTGCCTCGTACACCTTAAGTATTCTGTATTAGATTTTATTATGTATCTGCCCAGAACAGAATCTGCCATATTAACAGTATAGATTCAATGGAAACTGCCATTATCTTACAGCTCTTGCTTCTTCGGCAACAGTGATCTGGGTCAATCGGTGGTGGTGTCTGACCCAAGATAGGCCATTCAGATCCCTTCCTTGGGATTTTCTGAATTAGAACTAAGGAAAGGGATAGTATTTCTCGTTAGTGAAACTGGAATGGTATGAGTCTGGGAGCTCCTGGTGGTCATGATTCTAATCCATGGAGGAAGCTGGTATAAGAAAATGAGGCAAATATTCAGAGACAGGATACAGAGAAAGTAGTGATTCCAATTATCCTTGGGCTGCAGCTATACCTCTGCCTCTTTTCCATAACTCAATATGTAAGCCAACAAATTCCCCTTTATGCCTACGAAAGTTCGAGTTGGAAGTATGATACTTGAAACTAAATAGCGCCTTGGCTGATCCATGCTGGGAAAACAAAATGATTAAGATTTACAATTTTAGAAGGAGTTCTTCTCTAAGGGAAACATAAGACCTTTACTGCTGGGGCTTTATTAGTATTTTTTCTTTGTTCATGAATGAATTCAGTATGTGAATCTCAGATATTGAGTATAATTGTCTTAAGTATCTCAGGTATTCTAGGATCCAATGGATCCACTCATGACGTCAACTTCTCACCTGCTGAGAGTGTGGGATTCATATTTCCTAAAAGGCTTGCCAGTAACAGCAGCATTAAACCAATATTTGGAGAAGAACAAGGAAAGAGAAAGACAGCCTTCAGAACTATTGGCTGTAAATCCTCACTGAACAAAGGAAAGGAAGGTAACTTAGGAGAGGTATTTTTCCAAACAATGACTTGCTAATTTCATTTGCCACTGCCCTTAAGTCTATTAGAGTCAGCCTTGTATTTATCCATTACTGAATGAAAGCCTTATGGAGACCATCATCATCTTCAAACAGAGTATAAAAAATATTTTATTTTTAACTAAGATACTGATTCTTTCGGTAAATATTCTAGGAAGCTGAATGGCATTTAAAGCTCTTCCTAACCTGGGTTGCTTTAGAATTTGTTTTGAAAGTGGGAACACACACTCCATACTGGGCTGTTTGGAAATTTCCCCTGAGCTTTACTACTGAATTGATCTACAGTTCCAGAGACTGCTAGAATGGAGGTTTTCAAAACTTGTTTTCGCCTTGGACCCCTTTCTTCAAATGAATCTTCAGCAGAAGCCAATGTTTTAAAAATACAGAAGCTGAGCCATTCAAGTTGAAGAAATATAGAGGGTGTGCATCGCTGAGCGCTGGGGGCCGGGTGCTCCATCTTTACTCCTATTGCCACCTCAACATAATTAGCGGCTGCCAAGAAAACCACTGATGGTGTATATAAATCAGCAATTTTATTTTGGACAACAGTTCAATAATATGAAAATTTTGAAATGTGCACATCTCTCTGACCCAAAATATAGATGTGCAAAGCAGTTTATACAGAACTACTAGCATGAAGGCACAAAGGGGTGTGTGTCTATGTTTACTCAAACATAAATATATACATATGGCTGTTCAGTGCATTGTTTTTAATGACACACCGGTAGCAGAATGTCAAAAGATGTTTGGATAAATAAATTATGGCAGTTTCATACAATGGAATACTGTGCTTTCTAGTAAAAAGATGTCTATTGATGTGAAAAGATATTCAAGATTTTTGGTTAAATTTTAAAAAGTTGTAGTCTGTACAATATGATCTAGTTATTATTTTTAAAAAATTGCAATGTTTACATAAAGAAGAAAAAGCCTAGAAAGATATATACTACTAATAGTAAATACCTATTAGGAGGGAGTGGAAGGCTTTTACTATGTTGTTTTTGAATTATATGAAGCATTTATAATGAAAATATATTACTTTTTAGAGAAAGAAAGAAAAGTGTACTATTTGACCAGGGCATTCTTCCTACCTCCTTGGGGTCCTATAATTGGTTCAGGTCCCATGGTACTGGAGGAGCACAGTATGAGACAGATAATCTAATTTGGGGGTAGTATTTATGCTCAGTCAGTTGGATTCAAGATAGGAGGTATTTTTCCCCTTTGCTTGCTATGATTTTGAATAGCCTATATATATTTTAGTTATGTTTGCCTATAAGTCCACTCAAATACTGATGGAAGAATGCAGCAATAAAAACATTTTTTTATTGTGGAATACTCATTTTATCTATCTTTACATCATTTTGTATTTGTGTTTATATATTTCTTTGATATCCATTAGTTTTTTCCTATTAGTAAGTTGCAAAGTTGCCTGTTAAACTTTTATCTTAACCTTATTGCCTTTCAAACTTAAGATTCTTCACCCAATGCATGGACCAAGCAATAAAGGAAACTTGTTATAGCTCCTCTATTTTTTCTTCTGTGCTGGCCATGGTTACCTTGGGAGGTAGGAGCTGATAGGTCTGAAAATCAAATGACAATAATTCCTTTCTCCAACAAAGACAGCCTTACCTGCAAGATAACGAATTGTCTCAAGCTTGTTAGATTCCATTAGTGTTTTTAAAGAAGCAATTTCAGTGTCAATTTTATTACTGGTCTCTGAAATAACACTTTTGGTTTTGGTATCCTGTAGTAAATAAGAATAAAGACAAATAAGTTTTTTTTTTTTCACATATCAGAGTTTATTTTTATTTTGAAGATATTGTAAATAATGATTTTACTTTCTAAAAAATGATTTGTTAAAATGTATTAGGATTCTACTTTGAGACAGCAATCTTGGAATGTTGATTATATCTTTATAATAAATTTTTAAGTGATTCTTAAGAAAGCAAAGGTTATCTCTAAAATAATAGGTAATCAAGAAAAAGCATGATAAAGTATTATGTTATAGTCCAATCTAACTTCTTTTAAAGTTACATTTTTTTTATTTTTTATTAATTAATTTTTGTTACAGATGTTTCTCCTTTTTCCCCCACTGATTCCCCCCTCCCCCTCCCTCCCTGCCCTTTCCCCAGTTTGTTGTCCATAAGACAAATAAGTTTTGTCCTTATACATTACTGGCAAAAATATTCACATGAGAAAACTTTATTTATAGGTGAATTGTGTATTACAAAAGTCTTAATTGGGGAAACACAGTAAAAGCAGTGATATTTTAGAAATCCATTAGTGAATGTTACAAACTGATGAAAAATATTCCTTCTACTTTGATAATTGGAGATCATTTATTAGGATTATCACATTCTGTGCACATTCTACTAAAAGCCTCATAGTAAGATATTTGAGGTTTAAATATATAACAGGATAAACTAAGAAGAAAAAATTTCAGTCACTGAACTATCACTTTATGTGTAGAAAGTCCTGAGGGTAAGATAGTTAAAAATTTAAATATATTTTGCAAAAGAAAAAACCCAACCAGGTTTACAATGTAAACTGGCACTAACATGAAAGGAAATGGCAGAAATGCTTGTTCGTTAACACTGAATGCTACGTGTATAGGAGCTAAGAGATAGGAAGAGAGAGAAAATGGTACTTAGGGCTCAGAAATTAGCTGTGAGAGAATTTTAAAATTTCCTTATCTCCTTTATCTGGACAAAAAGTAAGAGACAAGAATTGGATGCTAAGAAGGACAAATGGGACCTTCCTTTCTATTAAATTAGAAGCAAGCAAGAGTGCTTGCTGTCTCTTCTGTCCAAATGACTTTTTTCAATTCTCACTCGAGGATATTTTTCCATTGATTTTTAGATAGAGTGGGAGGAAGGGAGGGAGAGAGGGAGAGAAAGAGAGAGAGAGAAACAATGATGTGAGAGACACACATAGACTGGTTGCCTCCTGCAGGACCCTGACCAGGGCCTGGGATTGAACCTGCAACCTAGGTATGTGCCCTTGACCAGAACTGAACCCGTGACCCTTTGGTCTGAGGGCTGACGCTCTAACTGCTGAGACAAACTGGCTAGGGCTAGACCAAATGGCTTTTAATTCTTAAGAAAAGGACTAGCTAAACCAGAAAGCTAGGTTTTACTCAAGCCACAGAGATTAATGATTCCAATTTAGGATTACTGAGAAGGTAACTATTAGTAACGAGTACTGTATAGGGTTTAAAATCCAGGTTCATATCCCACCTCTACCACTTACTGGCTGCATGACCTTAACATCCCTGTGCCTCATTTTATAAGTTGGTAAAATTTATAAAATTACGGAGGCTGATATAAAGATTAAATAAATTAACAGACAGAAGTAAAGCAAGTAGAACAATATCTGACATATAATAAGCACTCATTAAATATTTAATTTTTTAAAATTTAAAGATAATTAATTTAATCTAGACACTCACTTAAGTACTAATTGTGAATCCTTATCTTTTAAAGAATACTGTAGTTCTTTTTTTTTTTTCCAGCCCTGGCCAGTTTGGCTCAGCGGTTGAGCATCGGCCTGCGGACCAGAGAGTCCCAGGTTCGGTTCCCGCTAGGGGCATGTACCACAAAAAATAAAATAAAATAAAGAACAGTTCTTTTTTTTTTTCTTTATTGATTTTAGAGAGAGACGAAGGGAGAGGGAGAGAGACTGAAACATCAACAAGAGAATATCAATTGGCTACCTCCTGCATGCACCCCACTGGGGATCAGGCCCACAACCTAGGCATGTTTCTTGACCGGGAATCAAATTAGCGACCTCTTGGTGCATGGCTCAACCACTGAGCCACACTGGCCAGGCAAACAGTTCTTTTTTATGTAAAAATAATTTAGTTTAAAAAAGTATGCTACCTGGAAAGCTTGACTCTGACTCAGAGGTCACAGTTCTGGTACTATCATCCACCTGGTGGCAGTTATCCCTAGTGCTCATTAACTATAAAAGTTATGAGGAAACCATGGATTCTATAGGGCTAGCTGTTTAAAGTCCAAACTTATAAAATGATACACATAAAAGCAGTTACACAAGGCATGAGAGCTGTACACAAGGGAACTTTTTACATACTAACTTACCTTTTTGGTAAATTCTGTGGTTGCTTCCATAAGTTTCTTTTCTTGATCTGTAAACTAAAGGATATGATGCATCAGGAGGTTAATAAAACAGACTAAAAGGGATTAAAAAGCAATAAGTAACCAAGAAAGTACATTTAAAAGCACATTACCATATCTGTTACTCTGCTCCTTTCTAGGTTGATGTCCAGTTTATTATCTGCTCTGATTCGACCAGTTTCATTCTTTAAGGAAAATTGAAATATTTAAAAAGTCATCTTGTAATGAATATTTTGAAATTAATCAAACATTTTGAAATGGGAAGAAGTTTCACTTACTATCAACTGTTGCTTAACTTGTTCTAATTCAATTTTCATTTTCTAGATATAAAAAAAATAACATACATTTGGCATTAAACCAAAAGCCCATATTATGATTTTTTCATAAAATCTGAAATCCTAAATTAGCAAAAATTGGATGATGTATGGATTTCTAGTACAGAATTTGATTAAAAATAAAATTCTTAAAAATGAAAGAATAATTCATCATAATCAGAAAATCTTAGAAAAACATTAGAAAATATATTTGTTTTAGTTTTCCACTTTAAAAAAATGATGGATATCCTAAATTTAAAAATAGCTAGTGGCTAACAAAATTCTGACTGAATTACAAAAAACACATTTTTCTCTTAAATGACTAATCTGTGCAGAACCAAATAAAATGGAAAATGCCACATTAATTTCAGTTCTGAGAACATTATACTATGAGCAATGCTAAAATTATATAGTTGTGTGATTTTTAGACATACAAGATACAACTCTTATTCTTTAGTATGCAAGCAACTATGCTTTATACACAGAAAGATTAGGTGTGGTTAAACATATAGTCTGTTTTAATCTAAAAACTTGTAAATAATTATTTAATAACCACATAAAACTGTTATTTGGTCCTATTATTACCAAGCCGACTACTTGTGAAATCAGTTATTTTATTAGTAATAAACTGAAACTTGTGTCACCTCATTCTCTGCTCTTAGATTTGCAAATTCACTTTTCTCTAGGATGACCATATCTTTCCTGATGGAGTCCAAATGAGCCATTAGCTGTTGTACTGTAATTTCCTAGAAAACAAAATAACCCAGTGATCTGTGGAATGCCATCCCCTTACATGGAATTGTTTTCATGAAACTAGTAAGAGTTTCATATGCTACAAGATACAGTGTCACTTGGCTAAGTAAAAAAACAAAACAAAACAGAACATATGAAACCTACATACCTGAAATATCAAAATGAAAAGGAACAGGAGAGTCAAGGAAGAAAAAGTACTTCCCAGTGAAGAGAAATAAATACAGTATCTAGAAACATTTATGAAAGAATCCCAATAAAATGCTTATTTAACATCTAAGAGTTCCTTAACAAATACTGTTTTTTAAAAATGCCTACATGGAAAGGGTTTTGTTGTCTTTTATTACTTTAATTTTGAAGGATTTTCTATCGTTAGAAAATTCCAGGGTACTGAATAAGACTGAGAAGTCAGGCAGTAAAACAAAATAGGTATTAAGTATGGTTTAAATAACTACCCCTTGTCAGCCTAACGTAAGTAGTGGTTTTTTAATTGACATTTCAGTGCTCTCTCGGTTGAAAATAGAAAAAGCAAGACACATAAAAATGAAAAAGAAAAAAAATTAAACATTTTTAGCAATTAGGTAGATTTTTATTTTTGTTAAACCTTTAAGCCAATTTGTATTTTATCCAAGTAAGTTTTCCCATTCCTGTTGGCAACACTATGAGGAAAATAATGTAAATACACACACACACACGCACACACAAAATAAAATTAATTCCTGGGTAACTTTCCTATATTTGGCACTTCAAAGAATGTGACAAAAAAGGTGGCCCCTATCTGACAGACTTATACAATTTTACTTTGCTAGGGAGGGACAGTTCTATAGAAATTATTTAAGGCAATCTTACAAAGAAAATAAAAATTTAACACTAGCCCTGACCGGTTTGACTCAATGGTTAGTGTCGCCCTTGGACCAAAGAGTCTTGGGTTCGATTCCGGTCAAGGGCACATATCTCTGCTGCAGGTCGTCCCCAGCCCTGGCTGGGGTTGTGTAGTAGGCAACCAGTCAATGTGTCCCTCTCACATCAATGTGATATTTCTCTCTGTGTCTCTCTCTCCCTCCCACTCTATCTGAACATAGATGGCAAAATATTCTTGGGTGAGGATTAAAAAAAAAATTAACACTAAACTCCTTCTTTACAAAAAGAAAAAGCAGATGAGGATGTAGCCATGAAAAAAGGACCTTCTATGACAGGGTATATAAATAAAACAAAAAAGCCCAAATAAGAACAGGATCACTAGTGGAATTCCCATTTTTTGGTAGAATTTTGTGGCCAGCAGCACGTTGTTGGGGTTATAGTCCTCCACTGACCAATATGGGTGGAAAGACTATTTCAAAACTCACCTGACTTAGAAAACAGGCTATCATAGTTCCAGATGCGTGACCAAGATATGACTCAGTCTTCAAAGGGTCTGGAATTCACAACATTCTCCAGTAACTCCCAGATGGCACAGTCATATGGAGTAAAGGTTAAAAATGTGTTTTGGAGACAAGTTGCCTGGTTTTGACTCCAAATGCTGCCATTTACTGTGAAACTTTGGGCAAATTATTTAACATCTTTTTTTTTTTTTTTTTTATCCTCACCCGAGGACACTTTTTCATTCTTTGTTCAGATAGAGCAGGAGGGAGAGAGAGAGAGAGAAACATCGATGTGAAAGGGACACATCGAGTGGCTGCCACCCGCACGACCAACCAGGGCCGGGGACAAACTGCAACCGAGGTACATGCCCTTAGCGGGAACCGAACCCGGGTCTCTCCGGACCGCAGGCCGACGCTCTAACCGCTGAGCCAAACCGGCCAGGGCTATTTAACATCTTTGATGTCCTCATAAGTAAAATGGAAATACTAACAGTACCTATACCTTATAGAGTTGTTTGGAGAATTTAAGCACATCAAATGCTTAAAGGAATACTTGGCACACAGTTAGCACTCAATGAATGTTGACTATTATTAATATTACCAGAGAGAGGGATGTAATGGTTGAAGCAGGACAGTGTAACTCCAATGTTTTGATGTGGGGACATTTTGTCTTAAATTTTAATAAAAAATTATTATTTTTTACTATGTACAACAGACATCCCTGAGTCTTATGCCTTCCCAATCCTCATCTATATAGTTGGGGATGGGAGTTCATTTTCCTTCATGCAGTTTTGCTTGAAATAGTCATGAGAATTAGTTCAGAAATCATATAGAAGTGGCTTTATGGGCTGGGCTAGTCAGTCCTAGTCCCCCAAAATGTCATTATGAAGGAGTTCTAAAACATTAAATACAATGTTATCTTTATTTAAATCTTTAATAAAATGTTATTACTGAGACTACGTGGAGAATAGTTGAAAATGTAATTACATATTTCTTGTGGAGTCTGAATCTGAGATAAGGAATTGTACTATGACCCTAATAGCCTCTTTATATCTCCACTTCCTCCTTTAAATACAGTTTGTGACTCAAAAAGGCCTACAACAGCATGGGTGTCCATCTTCAAAAACTTTAAATGGAAAAGTATAATCCAGTAACAAGTAGTAAAATCTATTAAGTGTAATCACTGTAACTATTGTGGAGCCACCAGAGAATATGAATAGAACTCAAATTATAAATGAATTTAGAATATAACTGTATTATCACATGGAGCAGACTTGACTTACTATGGCCATTCCTAAAGTGGTAAGTACGAATCTTGTCGCCTGATGGCCTCAAGCCTCAACCCCACCTTTCATGATGTCCTTATGCATTATTCTATCCTAGAGGTGAGGTCAGCAAGGGGATTAGGCTCAAGGATGGAATGGGATTTTAATTTTATACACCAGTAATAAAAAAATCAAAAGTTTAGTAGTAATATTCCTATATCCAATCCTACATTTTGAATAAATGATTAAATGTTCCTGGCAGCATAAAAATTTCTCAAACCACAGTTTCAACTGTCTATATAACAGGTAAACTTAAAGATCTGACTTAAGAGTATATTACTTTATTAAAAATATCAGTAGCTCCATTAGCTCTTTCAGGATAGCTCAGAGGTTTGGGAGAATTAAATGATTTTTCTTTAGTGGATTTAGTAGTCTGTTATAATTTTGAATAAATTAAGCTAAAATAATGTACACACAAATTTACAGGGAAGTTAAATCCAGGGGTTGAATCCTCTTGGTTCTAAATGTCTAATTAGAAATTATTGTAAATATCTTTAAAAAGTTTTTGATTCTTCATGACCTTTAATGTAATGAAACTTTATGCAAGAGCTTCTAATTTTGCACAAGAAAGAAACCCTAATTTCTCTTTGCTGTGAAATATTTATCCAAGGAAGCCAAAATTTGAAAAATTAAAAAAATATAACCATAAGGTTCTTATAGTAAATTAATTCATGATGACAAACTATGAATTATTCCCCAATTAAGCATATTGAGCTTATTCTGTCTTTACATAAAATCATTGTTTTGTCCATAGCATCACAATGACAACTCTTACAAATTACTCGGCCTCTCTGATCATTCTCCAGTGGCAAAAGAGAAAAATTCTCCCTATATTTAAAGGTTGTTAGAGGGGTTAAATAATATGTGAGAAGTCCCCAATATTGTGTTTCTTGCATCTTAAGTTCTTAGTAAATGGCATTATTTGACTTAAAGGATTTGTGTATCCAGTCAAATTAAAGCATCTCACCAGGTGATTTATGAAGTCCTTTCCAGCCTTCTAAGTTTGTGAAAATTAAGCAGAATATACACATGACTGCAATAAAATATTTTTATTATATAGAATGGTTAGCTCTTCTACTGTGGTGGGCTTTCAACAGGGAAAAAGTTGTTTCACTAACAATCTACCACCATCTCATGATTCAAATAATGTAATTATCTCACAATGAAAGATTTAATAAAATTTCACTCTGTGTTACCATAATTCTGTTATGACTATTCTAATTCCTTAATCTGTCTAGATACTGACTTTAGATTTTGCTTGTTTGTTTTGATCCCTTTAGAGAGAATAAGGAAGATACAAGTGTGTTTGGAAGGTCAGTGGGTAGACAGAGATGCAGTTATAAAAAAGATTGTCTAATAAAACTGTTAGAAGCGATAAAAATACAAATATTACCTGTTGAGCTTGAGTGACCATCTCCTTATAGACAGTATCCAAGCTGACATTTGATAAAGTAGTTAATACTGACACAATTGTTTCTGCTTGTGTTTTGTTAAATCCTGTAGGGAGCAAAAAGATATATTTTTAAAACTGCACATTCTTATCAGAATAGACAGCTGATATAAATTTCCCTATAAATCACTCTTTTTAAAATGGTTATAATAAAAAATTTGAGATTATGCTAAATTACTCATTAAGCACTCTACCATTTTAATTCTCTCTGCTCCATTTCCCCAATCTCCTCAACACTGGATATTACTAGTTTTTAAAATTTATTTATTATTTTAATTGTACATTTTTTTTGGAGATCATTTTAGTTTTATTTACTTTTTAAATAGGAAATGCATTTACATGATATAAAGTTGGGAATGTATAGAGGGTAAACAGTGAGAGGACTCTGTTCCAGTTATATTTTGTTGCATGGCAAACCACCCCAAAATAGGGTGCAAAAAAGAAATGAATGGGTCATTGTCCTTCAAGGTGTCTCTTTAGTTTTTTGTTTGTTTTTTGAGTGTATAATTGTCATAAAAAATGGTATTGCATTATTATTTTAATTTATACTTAAAATTTCCTGGTCAAGCATCTTTACATATATTTATTGGTTATTGATATTTATTTTCCTGTAAGCTGTTTATAGCTTTTCTCCATTTTCCCATAAAATTGCTGAACTTTTTCTTATTGATTCATATAAACTCTTTGTATATTAAAGCATTAAGCTGTCAAGTTTGTTACTAACAATTTTAACTTTATGGATATCCTTTGAGATACAGATTTAAATATTTCTGTAGTCACATCTGTTAGTCTTTACTTTCATTGCTTCAGAGTTTTGATGTGTTGCTTTTTCTAAAAATCTAAAAATATTCGATATTTTATTACTCTTTTATAGTTTTTAAATTTTTTACACTTAACTTTTAGTCAATCTAGAATTTATTATTTCAGTAAGGAGATCGTACCATAACTCATTTATTAAATAGTCCTTTCTTTCCCACTTTGTAATGCTTTCTTTAATGCTTGCTCAATCCTTACGTGTGTTTGATTCCCAATCTGTAATCAACTTTTCTATGTGGTATCACATAATCTAAATAATTGTTTTGGTATCTGGTCATTTTTTATGTTTTTAATTTTATTTGTTGCTGTTCTTAAACATTGTCCTTGTACTTCCACATGGACTTCAATATCAGCCTAGAAACTCCAGTTTTTTTTCTTTTTTACATAATTGGAATCATTCACATGTAATTTTATATAATGCTTTTTTCACTTTACATACCTTGAGCATTTTTCACATTCAAGTAATACCATTTTTATAACTGTAAAATATTCAACTGTGTGGATGGCACTTATATTTAAACAGTGACTCTTAACTGTTCCTAATAGTGATATTGTCTTGACTAGGTAATATATCAGGAGTGGCGTTAATTTACTTCTTTCAAGAGATACCCATGTTTCTTACCGTGAGTTTCTAAGTCCTGAACCAATGCATGAGTATCAAAAGTTAATTTCCTTTGTTCTAAAGGAGTTATGTCCACTCGCCTTATATCATGTTCTTCCTTGGTTGTGGTGGTTAAAAAGTCTGAAAAGAGAAGACAATATTTTTATTGCTTGTAGTAACTAATGGAAGCATCACACTTTAGTTTCTAAAGCAGTTTCCTCATTTATTTTATTTAAAAAAAAAAAAAAGTTTTTTTCCTTTACTGATTTTTAGAGAGAGAAAGGGAGAGGGAGGGAGAGAGAGAAACATCGATGAGAAAGAAACATGATGAGAGAGAACATCGATTGGCCGCCTCCTGCATGCCCCCCACTGGGGATCAGGCCCACAACCTGGGCATATGCCCTGACCACGAATTAAACTGGTGACCTCTTGGTGCATGGGTCGACGCTCAATCACTGAGCCACACCAGCCAGGCTCTTTCCCCATTTATTTATAATACAGTTCCAGATCTCCTACTTAGGAATTGTGCAATTTCAGACAAGGTAATTGATTCCTCTGAGCCCCTCTTTTATCCAAAGTGTCTAACATTATTTGGTATAGCAAATATTCAATAAATGTTTCCCTTCCTTCTTTTAGTATTCAGAAATGTTTTGTTATGCATCAGTCTAAAATTGTAATATACATCAAAAGCTTTGACTATGGCTGCCACATCTCTAATTACTGGAGAACATAAACTGCCCAACTCTCCTCAGTGCTAAGTTGTTTATAGAGCTATGATAATTTTCTATATCTCATCCAAAGCAGCTTTCTGTACTCCCACTATTACATATTCAGTTTATTTCCCACATAGTTCTGTTCTAATCTTGTTTACTGTTTGTCTCTCTGAATCACACTATAAGCTCCATGAAGCCCTGTTTTTCAGTAATGCATCTTCAATACCTAGAACAGTGCTTGGCAAATAGATGGGTTACAGTATTTTATTGCTGAATCAATGACTTTGATTTTAAAAGGTGGATTATTTACTATTAAAACAAAAGCCCTAGGAAAAGTTTTGCATTTAAAAAATGTATGTCCTGTTTCAATAAATTACCAATTTTTTCTTTCTTTCTTCTTTTTGGTGCGTGTCCCTAGCCGCTAGGGCCTAGCAGAAACCGAAGGCGGGACTCTCTGGTCCGCAGGCTGATGCTCCAACTGCTGAGCTAAACCGGCCAGGGCTAAATTATCAATTTTCAAGGTACAGGGGATGATGAGCAAAACCAGACATAACATGTTTTCATTTACTTTACAGACTAAAACATTATAGTTTACTTATGGTGATGTATTATCCAGTATATATGCACCTCAAAGTTAATTCTCTAAAAATGTTTAATATTGTTCTCATTTGAATATATAAACAAAATTCACCTCTAAAAGTTTATACAGATAGGATTGAGATTGGGGTGATTTTCCAGGGTTCAAAAAAATGCTACCTTCTTTTTGTAAAGGCCACCTAATGTGTATAGCCGAAGACGTTGTGAAGGACCCTAGCAGCTAAACCACCCTCTTATGGGGGATCAACAACTGCGGTCTTCCTGTGTGAGTAAAACGAAGCAATGCGCAAAACAGCACAAAGTACCGTGGGTACTGGATGGCTCCTTTCACCTGGCACTGAAAATTCACGGTGAACAGAGACTGCTAAAATCAGCATCAAGTGCTCACTCTGTGGCAACATTAAAGAGTTTAAAAACTGGGGGAGAAATTCTGAAAATGTCTGTCAGAATAGTCAGATGTGTCTCAGGTCACACTGCTAACCCGAGTGCCAACTAGTTCAACACCTACAGGTCCCAGCATTCACGTTCCGCTACGTTGTTGAATGGCTAAGACGCGAGGATTGCAGAGCACTGAAAATTACAGCGAGAATAAAGCAGACCTGATGTACGCTGCAGTCCGCCAAAAACCTGGGCTCGAGGCCAACACCTAAGACTCTAAATCTGGACAGGCCACGAAGGAAATCAGGACTCTCCAAACACCGATTACTTTACGCTTGCACCTGACAGATCTACTAGAGGGCGGAGATTATCAGCCTCATTTCAGAGTGAAAAGAAAACGAGCTCAGAAAGAAGCCTGGCGGGGCTCTGGTGGGGCAGCCAGGCGAGAAGCCTGCCTTCCGAGGCTCGCCCGCCGGGGCGAAGCCGGCGGCAGGGTCTCCAGCGCCCGGCGTGGGCTGGGCAGGAGGGCGTGGCACCCTGGCCTCCGGCTTGCGGCGGCAGGCAAGAGCACCATTTTTCTAGAACACACGCGGGCATCGGTGACACCGGGCTTTTTCTCACCTCTCCGCAGGGCCGGAGAGAAACGCCCGCGGCCCTCGAGGCTTTCAGAGCGCAGGAGCCGCCAAACACTGCGATTCCACATATCTTCAGTTTCCCGGTGGGTGGGAAGAAGCGAAAAGCTAAATGAATCGCGCTCAGGCTTTCGGGCAAGGTAGTTCTGGCTCCGCGAGGATGCTGGGAAATGTAGTTTTCGACCTGTAGCAACAGCCCCACCCAACGCCTGCTCGAACCGCGGATCCGCAAAGCTGGGCCGCTTCACAGACGCACCCGCAGTTCACTAGCATGTTTCAGAGCAGCTCCGCTTCGCCCACCGCCCTTCCCAGCCCCTTCACGCCGTTACCGCTCTAGGAAAGCGGGATCTTGTCTTTGAACCTTCCTGCGCCCGCTTCCTGTCAGTAAGGTACAGTTCAACAGCAGAATAACCCCGGCTAGCCAGCAGCCATTGCGCGTTTGGGTCGGTGGGAGATGGAGTCACAGTCCGCCGCACAGCACCTTGGGACCCGAAGTCCTCAGCCGCTGAGCGTTCTGGGGCGGGGTCACGTAGTACGCCTTCTGGGAAATGTAGTCCAGGGACTTTCTCACTCTTACGGCGTTACATCCTGCAGCTTCGCCCTCTGCTGCACAGGAGGAGGAACTTTAGTTCCTTTAGTTCCTCTTCAGGGAAACTGAATTCCTTTGCTTCTAGTGTATACTTGATACCACTTATCCCTTGCACACCTCAGTTACTCCAGACTTTGCTCCACAGGGTAAAATGCTGAAAATAGCAACGCACAGTAGTTGCGGAGTCATACATTTTTTTTGTAGATCTTAAAATGGTACACAATCGTTAGTTTTTAGTGACTTAATTATTCTCACAGGTATCCAGTTACCACTAGATTTTCTTACCTATTTGTTTTCAAGGCTCTGGGAACATCAGCTACGTAACAAGCACGATTTTAACTACTGAGGCACATGAAAAGAACAACACGTGATTCCTACCAGCAAGGGCTTTAACAGATAATTCATGAAGAAGAAATAGAAATGGCTATTAAAAATGGAAAATAAATAAGAAAGGACAGTTTAATCTCACCAGTTAATAATAGTCATTAAAGCTTGACCTCTGTGGCTCAGTGATTGAGCGTCAACCCACGCCCCAGGAGGTTCCCGGTTAGATTCCCGGTCAGGGCACATGCCCAGGTTGTGGGCTGGATCCCCAGTGGGGGGCATGCAGTAGGTGGCCAATTGATGTGCTCTCTCATGGATGTTTCCGTCTTTTCTTCTCCCTTTCTTTCTCTAAAATCAATAATAATAAAAAAGAAGAGCCATTAAAGATTTATTAAAGTGATTATTATTAATGCTATCCAATATGCAATTAGGGCCGCTCATGCTGCTGGCAGGAGTGTAAATTAGGACAACATACTTGGGAAACAATTTAATAATATATATGAAAATTCTAAAAAGTGAATAAAGTTTCACATAAGAATCTATCCTAAGAGGAAAATAATCACATTTGTAGCTAAGACTTTTAAAATTTATAGCCCTTGCAGTGTTATTTATAATAGTAAAAAATTTGAATAATCTAAATATTCTAAGTGATTCAGTAACTTGCAGAAATGTCCCGAATTGCAATAATATGCAACCATTAAGTATTTTTTAAACAAATTTTTAATGACAGGAAAATTTACACACACACACACACACACACACACACACACAGAGTTGACCCTTGAACAATGGGGTTGGGGTTAGGAGTGCTGACCCCAGCATAGTAAAAAAATCTACAATAGATCCTTCCCATCCACAGATTCAACCAACTGGGTACCAGAAATGATATTTTCCATCTGCAATTGGGAATCACAGTTGTGAATGCAAAAATACTGTTTTCTGGCCAAGCTTGGTTGAATCTGCAGTTGTGAAACCTGCGGGTACAAGGGCTGACTGTATTTACTGAAAAAAAAAAATCTGTGTGTAAGTGGACTGGTGCAGTCCAAGTCAGTGTTGTTCAAGGGTCAACTGTATATTTCCAATATGATTATAATTTTGGTAAATGATATGATCCCTACTCTGGAGGAGTTCACAGCCCCTGGAAGATACAGACCAGTAAGTGGAACCACAGTATTTTTACTTACCTTAAATTAAGTAATGATAAAAAAAAAAAATACCTCTTTATTTATTAACACTAGCTATTATTTATATTACTGTAAAATTCTCCCCAACAGAAATACAACAGTGTTAATTAGTAATGTGACCAAGGCTGGATCAGTCACGTTCTCTTTCATGGAACTGGCAATTGGATTCAGGATTCTTAACCACTTTTCTAAGCCTGGCGAATGATAGCAAGTGAGCTCAGCAGCTGGACAGCCATATTCTGCCCAGTGGGCTGGAGAAGTACAGAGGGGCAGTGGCGGGGAGAGCAGGTGGGGTGAGACTGGAGCTAATAGATTTAGCCACTCCCTGAGACCTCCCTGATGTTTCTGTGTGTTTAAAAAATCTCCACTGTTGCTATTATTTGTATGCTGAAAGTCTTAATTTATGAAACTATTTTTTCATAAATTTGTTAATATTTTTTATAAGTGTGTTGAGGGAATAAAGGAGCTAATACATATAAAATGCTTAGCACAGTACATGGCACATATAAACACCCAGTACACAGCAGCTATTTTTATTAATAATGCCTGTTGACTTTGCTCAGTGTTGGGAGATGATTCTCCATGGGTCTCTCATACCTCGCATGCAGAGCAAAGATTTCTGCTCCTCAAGTACTTGTAACTGGGAGAACAGAACAAATGTACCCATAGTTTCCACACAAGGCAGTAATAGATTAGTGTCATATAAAGATTACAGAAAATAAATCCTTTGGTTCAGTTGAGAATAATACTTTTCAGTCATGGTTATAATTAGAGAGAAGGTTTGAGCCCTGTTTTGAAGGGGTTTTGTTGGGTCGAGATCATAGAGCAGAAGTCTAGGAGAGAGGATGGAGTGAGCAAGGAAGGGTTAGTAATCTCCAAGCTCTTTCCTACTTCAGGGCGTTTGTACATGGGTTTCTCTCAACCTGGAGGGCTTTCTCCTCCTTTTTACCTGGTTAATTCCTTCCAGTCCTTCAGATCCCGGTTTAAATGCCACTTCTTTAGGAGGTCTCCTAGCCCCCACAGGTAGATTTCGTGTTTTTGTTATGGATGCTTATAGCAACCCCACCTTCCCAGGCTCTGCAGTCCCCGTTTGTCCCCTCCGTGATGGTGGAGACCAATCTGTCGCTGTTTTCTCCCACACCTACCACAATGCCTGGCCCACTGTGAGCCTGTGGTAAGTAAATACGTGCTGAACGAATGAGTAAATGTTTAACACTTGGTCGTAGTGTAATGAGGAGACCTGATGCACGGGGACATAGGAGTTATTTGGAAGATTGGGTGGAACTGGAGGACAGAAAACTGAGAAAAAGAAGAATAGGAAAGACCAACAAAAAAAATTTGGGTTTCCTACGGGAGACTGAGGAGACTTCATTTTTGAGCCTAAAGTGGTAAAAGCCGGTTTGAGTGCCTTTCCACAAAATAACTGTTTGGCCATCACTGGTACAGACTGACGAACCCCTTCTCCTCCAGAGGTCCGTGAGGTGGCCTGGCCCTGACAGACGCCCCGGTCTGACAGCAGCCTCCTGTATCCACACCTCAGAGGCCCGCAGGGCGGAGAAGCGGGTCCTGGATTGTTCATTGGGAAGGACCACTGTTACTATGTTTTCACTCTTACGAGCCCCAAATTTAAACATATCTTAATACTCTTTATCAACCACATGTAGGAAGCCGTTGTTTATTTTACTATATTCAATTAATCCGAGACAGTTTGAGTGCTGTGAGCCGTGCTCATCCAACACCGAGCTGATCGATTGCAGCTGAAGGCGAAGGCACTGCCAATTTTTCCTTTTGGTGGTGGGGGGGTGTTTTCCAGTTTTACCTCCCCAAGTGATGGCACAATTTCTTTAGACATTTTGAAATTCTAGAACCCTTTTTTTAATAAAAATTTTCTTTTTCTTTATTGATTTTAGAGAGAGAGAAAGGGAGAGGGAGAAAGATAGAAACACCGATGAAAGAGAACATCGATTGGCCGCCTCCTGCTTGCCCCCCACTGGGGATTTGGCCCACAACCCGGGCATGCTCTCTGACCGGGAATCGAACCAGTGACCTCTTGGTGCACGGGTCGACGCTCAGCCGCTGAGCCACACTGGCCGGGCAATTCTAGAACCCGTTCAAGGACCCCAGTGCTCTTTCCTCTGAGGCCCAGAGGTTTGGGGACTCCGTTGGGACACGGTTCTGTGAGATGACAGAGGCCCTCCAGCACAGTGATCGTGACTCCAGGAGAGAAGAGGCGGCCTGGACCACTCACAGGAGGCAGGCCTCTTCGCTTGGAGGAGGTGGTGGGAAGGAACCCCAGGGGACTCTGGCCAGATGGATGAGATGCTGCGAGACAGCACAGGGCCCAGTGTTCTCCATTTCCTTTCTCAGCTTATTTGGAGTTCTTGACACCAGAGGGAGTATGAGGACTGAACACAGGACATTCCTTTGCTCTTCTTTCTGCAACTCATTTTATTCTTCAGTCAGAGGAGCCCATTATCACAAAAACTGTGTTACTTTATGTTCATGTCACATTTATCATGGCTTGAAAGTGACTACCAACCCCTCTCCCCCACAGATCTCGGGAAAATTGTTTTCCTGAAATGACACCCAATTACAAGTTTGCTGATCGCAATGAATTAAAGGAAAAGATGATTAAAAGACAAAAAAAATAAGAACTGTTAAAACATTACATACTTTGCAGTGTTACATCATATCTGACAGTGACCCTTGTTGATTATTCATTTATTCCTTCAACTAATTCTTACTGAAGACTCTTTATGGTTCCAGGCAACCTGCTAAGCCACGAGAAGACAGACACAGTCCTGCCCTCAGTTTGCTGTCTGTCGTCAATTCTATGATGAAGGGATGGAGGCCACCGAGGGAATGCGTATAGGAGGATTGCGCTCCCCGAAGCAAGGAGCCCTGGGAAGGCTTTTGTTTAGAAGGATGCCTAGAGAAGTATTTCAATTAAGTGGATTTGGTGGACAGTGGTGCAGGTATGTTGTGTGCGAAAGGCAACACCACTTGCCAAAGCCAGGAAGTGTGTGAGAGAGAGCCCAGCCTGCCCAGGACTGCGAGAATGGCTGGAGCAGTGGGTAGAGGGCAGAGGGTTTTGGATGGTGAGGTTGGCAGAGGCCGGCTGGCTCTCAAGGTCCCTTTGACTTCATCCGTGGGAAAAGCAGATTTCCCAAAGCACATTGGGCTGGGGAGTGGCATTGAAAAGAAGGTCTTTGCTTGCTCTCTGCTCACTTCTGTCTGGACTTTCAGGAATCATTGCCAAGTATTTCACCTAAGTCCCCTGTCCTAGATGCTGAGCTGGGAGACCTTCGTGACCCCCGTTTCCTGGCCAGGGATGACCCTCACCTGGCAGAGTCTACAAGGAGTCTGCAGCTTGCATCAAGGT